AAAGTGATTCTAGTAACAAAAAACATCGTCCTTTATGCTGGATTCAAGTTATTGACAGTTTTATATATCTCGATTAAGAGCAGTTGTAAATTTATCTGGTGAATAGACACTGATTTTGTTGCATGCGACAGCATGCCTCCTAACCTCAACAAAGTTTGAGATTCTAGTGCAACGTCAGCAAAATTTCCATTGTCTTTTGGGAACAGGATCCCTATCCTATGGCAACCGTAATTTTAGTGATCATCGCATTTTGATTTATAATCTTTTCTTGTGTCATACACTTCGCTGCAAAATGTAAGTGGTTGACTTTATGGGTTGAATGTGAGTGACTCACACACCTGAGTGACTCCTGAGGTATGACATTTTAAACCAATGAATTGTACATCACTGATTAGGAAGGCAGTGAAGCCTATCGATTTCCGCATTGCACGGCAAGAAGTGACTCAGTGTATTTACACGAGACGAATTTTTTCGTGCGAAGCGAATTTTTCGCCGCGAATGCGCGAAAAATATGCGCAGAAGTAGAAATTAGAAAATTCACAGCGAATTCGAAGCGAAAAATTCGCTGCGAAAAAGCAGAAACCATTCCTACTTTTTCGCCTTGTAAAATAAACCAATCAGAACAGCATTTGAAGACCCCTGACTTCTTTCAGATAGCCTACGTCTTTCCGCATTCTTTTTTTCAAACACTCTCGCCTATAAAACGTCAATGAAATAGGTTGGTAATTATTCATTTCCTGTTCCTCATACACAATCCATGTAAGTGGATTCATATCAGATTATTATTCAAACATTTGAATTTCAAATTGACAAAAACTGGCTTGAAAGTTTCATCGGTGTACCAAAATGTCAGAAATAAAAAAAAATAGGCAAGAATTTCTTCAATTTGCTGAATTGCTGGCTGCTAATTGGCCTGCTCAACAGCAGAAGTTTTAAGCAGATGCACTAACAGGATCTCGCATGCTTGTGCAAGCTTCGATAGCGACCTTTCGAAGTATTTGAAGAAGTTATTCTGGCCTTATAAATGGAAACGTAAACCTCTCTTACCGAAAGATGGAATTCCCTCTTCTGAAGACGTCCTGAATAAATTTTTCTAATCCAGTATCGTTTTTTTGAAATTATTTATTATATATTAATATTAAAATTATATATTAAAATTTTAAACTTGCTGATAAGAGCACTCTTCGGACAGTCGCTATATTCTTTTGTAATATTCGCAGAGAATTCGCATAAAAATTTCGCCAGTGTAAATCGCAGCTAAAAAATTCGTGGCGAAAAATTCGCTGGTATTTCGTGCGTTTTTGTGTGTAAGGATTGACAGACTGATAAGAAAAGGCAGTCTTTTAATAGGGTTGGAAGTAAAACCGATGCCTCCAGTATTTCTACGGATATAAGTGGTGATGGATCAATTTTACTTCACCGGTTTGTTTACACTTAGGCCTATCCATACCATTCTAGGTTCTTCAATATTGTCGCTTTTCTGTAAAATTTATAAATTTTTCCTAAAATTTTATTCCTTTGGTACTTGCTAGATTCCTTCTAGTTTCATGACCGATGACTTGCAGGGTAATCACTTGATACACCTCGTCAAAAATATCTGCTTCAAATATTTGACTGTTTGTTTGCGAAGGTCCACCAAGAAAAGATTAAGAAACAAGTCATAAATAAGAACAAACCAAATATTCGCCATCAGATCAATAAACTCATTTTTTTAAAAATGTTTAGGGACTGCAAAAGAGACCGTAGATCCTCCAAAAACAACGATCGGTACCATCACTATTAATGCCAAGAATTATGCATTACCTTCCCATTTTCCTTGAAATTCAATTATTCACGTTCGTAGGGGTTTTTCATATTTTACAGTTTAATCACTTAATTTTTGCCTGAATTCTTTGCTTAATTTCGCACGTTTCATAAAATTGTTTGTACAGCACCTCTCCGTTCTTGCCGTACAAATGATATTTTTCCCGGCTTCACTTCCTGTGGTCAAAGCTGCTCATACTTATTTATGACTGTTAATCATGCTTATTTATGACTATCAGGTCGAGCAGTATGGAAACTAGACAATTTCCAGGTAAAATTGTGAATAGATGGATAAATTTTAGTTTATGAAGAAGCAACTATCTCTTGAGGTGAATAATAGAAAATATAATAGCTAGGCCCATTTGTCATGGTTTTATTGCCATTTCTTTATTTGATATCTAGGTATTCGCTGTACACTTTGGAAAACTTCCTGAACCTAGTCTTCTGATTGTGCATGTTTCGAATAAATTTATTCATATGGCGAACCTAGCCTTCTGTATAAAGCATGAGAATTTTGAAAGCTTCTGTTTTATTACAGGCAAAAACTCCTAAAATCCTCAAAATATACTTTGTCTCTACACCTGGAGTTTGGCAGCTCTGATAGAAATCTATTCGTAATGATGGCAAAAACGGGAGCTCATTTGATGTTGCTAATACTTTTTCACTATAAGCTGTGTTACTAAGCTGTTTTGTTCTGTCATTGTTGATATCCTGGTGATAATCAAGTACTTCTTGTGTTTGTCTTTATCCATTTCTGTATACCGCCATCATACAACTTAACTCTGGCATTTTTCTTTTCCTCAAGCGCATGCATTTTATAACGTATCGTTTCTTCTAGTTTAAGTTAATAATTGATCAAAGTTGGAGGTGCTATCTTTGCATCTGATTCGGAGAGCTCGTTCATGAATCTTGTTTATTTTATTATTTATTCTTCTATCGTGGAACATCCATACAAGTGGTCAATAACTAAGATGAGAAATTATAAATGAGGTCATTGTTAGAGCTAGTTGAGGTGTACCATCAATGTTGATATGTGATTTAGAGCATGATGTTTTTGACTGGCTTTTTTGCAAAGGTTATCAGCATGAGATTGAAAACTTAACCTTTTTTAAAAGTTACCCCAAGAGGAGTAAATTCGGTACTTTCTTTTATTACAGACCCTCAGTTTCGTGTAGTTATTCTCAAACCATGGAGATAAAAAGCAAGTGTCTCTTTTGAGAGGTTCTAATACTACGTGAAGACCGGCTCTACATGAAAAGATTGTGGTATCATCCGCATAATTACATAAATTACTATCTATCACCAACGAATTTACACCAAAATCTTGATCTCTAGAAGTTTTCGTGGCTTAGTATAAAGTTGTTAGATTTATCTGTTATGGAGCTTCAGGCGTCTTTATTACGATCAGATTTGGTCATAATTTAATAAGAAGATACCAATAAAAGAAAATAGCACCCTAAGACTTATGCAGTGTGTTAAAAGGTTTCCTGGTTTACCAGTTGTTCAGTGTCATTGGTACGAAATTCATATTGTGTGGGGGGGGGGGGCTGCCCCTTGTATTCCTTCTCATTCAGTACACTGTTATAAAAGAACATACTCCCGTTTGACAATTATTGGGGGAGGGGCTCCAGCCCCCCGGTTACTTTATATGGCAAAATTTCAAGTTTGGCAGGTGCAGGGGAGCTTAGGGGACTGTAGCTCAACGTCATTGTTTAAATTTTTGTCAAGGTAACTAATGCCAAAAAACTTACAGTAAAACTAGAAAGAAATTTTGAGGCGATTCAAAGAGAATGGGAATAGGAAACTTGGTTGTAAATTTAATATTTGAGACCGTTAGTACAACGAGACTGAGATACACCAGGGACATCCAGCAACTGATAATTTTACCTTGTCTCACATAGTAGTTGTCTTACACTATTACTTCCCCCTTTTTTCAAAAGCATAGAAATTTTAGAATTATTTAATTTCCATCTTCAGTTTTGAATCAGTTCACTCTAAATGCCAAGAGAGCTTAGAATTACATCCCTTTTTAGTGTTACTCTGTGCTTATATTTTCACTTGTACATGAAAATTTATATGTGAAAACTCAAATTTTTTCCATTATTTAAACTAGAAATAGCTCTTGCTAGTACTGCCCGCAAACAATTAGTTCCTTGATAATGATTGTTTTGAAAATGTAGGTCAGGATATTCGAAGAAGACACCATCTTGGGTTTTCACAATTCTATAAAAACAGCTGCTCTAGTCGATGCTAAACTATTCTTTTAATCAAGAATTTTTGGTGTTCAGTTTGCCTTTGATTTGAGTCCAACGCCCTTTTGAAAATCATGAAGTTTTTCGAGGGTTTGACATTTATTTTTCGATAATCACGACAATCATAACTTTTGCTCGTACGGTCTCGAGTTTTTGGGAGAAAAGTGTGGCATTCGACTGGTTTTGATTCCCAAAACTTCGAATCAAAACTTCCATCCATTGCGGAGAACCGAGCTGTGATGCAGCACCGTTTTCGTGCCAAAAAAACCGAAGGCCTTTAACAGAGTCTTGGCAGAGCAACGCTCTGAAGATAATTCCCTTCCGCACAAAGAGGTGGCGGTTAACGACCTCCTCGACAAAGCCGATTGATTGACAATGAAATTGATTGACAGTTGTCATGGCAGCAGAAAAGTGACAAAATCTGCTGAAAAAGTGCTGACAACATGAACTGAAGCTTCCATATGCTACTTATACGCGGGGCAGACTATAAGCCCTTCACTCGCGCGCTATCGCGCGCGAGTTGCGGGCAATTACTAGCAAAAATTAATTTCTGCAATTTTTGGTAGTCTGAAAGATGTGGCTTGAATAATCTATCTAGTAAGTGATTCATTCCCAGAACCATGCATTTTCCAATCCATAGTTTCTTTGGTCTAATGCAGAATGTTGTAGTACTAGATATTATCATACCATAATATGTTCTCGATTCCAAACACATTTTCCATTTCAATGACATTTAAATTTGTTTGTCAGTTTTCATCATCTCGCTGAGTTTCAATATTTCTAAATCATTTTCTACTTAGTAGTTAATGGTGCTTTTGCAATGTTTTTTATAAAACCATGCCAAATCGTAAATTGGGCAAATTTTGATTCAAAAAACCAATACTTTATGTTGATCTTCAATTATTTGACACAAAGAATAATTTAAACAAAGTATAAAGAAACAGATTGCAAAAATGATTAGTTCTTTACTCTGTGTCTAACATGTAGGTCTATTACATAATTATCATGTTTAAAACAAAACTATTATAGTTAATATCTTTTATAAACCCTACTGTGATTAAAAACAAAATATGACTGAAAATTATATTTACATGTCTGACCAAGTACTAATTTACAGAAGTTGCTTAATTGTGCTATGTGTCTATGAAATTATAAAATTGTCATGCCTAAGTATGTAAAAGTTATATTTCTTGTGATGTTATAATCAAGACAGAAATGAAGGTTGGAACAAATCTTGTGCTTGTATTCACCCAGTTAGAAGATGTGAAGGCTCTTGAATTCATGTAAAGTTTTGATGTGTGGCAATCCTTTCAAAATCAAAACTCTGTTGCTATAAGGATTAGTTTCTGGTTGCCTAGGGCTTGCTCTTGCAATGATGAGGGCTTGCAGAGGTATTTGAGATGAGTGCAGGCCATGTTGAGTATGCTTTTCATCTTCAGGGAGCTTGCGCTTCATTTTTCAAAATATCTGCAAAAATGAAATTGCAGAGAAGGGCAGAATTAGTTAGTTGCAGAGTCTAAACATTAGACAATGAGCCTAAAAAACAGAAAGCACAAGGATACCAAGACCCACTGCCTTAAATACAGCAAAAATGGTTCTTATCAAGTGAAAATCTGTGAAAGAAGGTGCACCAAGTGAAAAATAAGTGTGAAAGTTTAACAAATCATTTTTAGATGCAATTTTGGCAGTTTGTATCAACTTTGCATTAGATAAACTTTCTTCCAATTAAATCTTTCGTTTTGAACCCCCCAATTCAGGCTTATCCACTTAAACTTTTACATATCAGAATAAGTGAAGTTGTGTATAACATTAATCTACTGAAAAAAAATTCCCCAGATTTAAAGAAACAAAATTAAACCCAAAATTGTATCTCTTTGAATAAAATTACTAACTTTGTCTAGAGGTGCAAGTTATTGAATATTAATCAAGGTAAAAAATCTATCTTCTAACCACATCGCTTACAAAGCCAACCATGCATTTATAAGATTGTTCTCCCGTCCTTTTGGGGCTACTGATTATCGATTAAAATTTATTTCTTATCAGGATGTTAAATTCTGGAATTCTCTTCCTCTTGAATTGCGTAATAAAAAAATAAACAAACGTTTAATAAGCACTTGAAAATATATCTCCAAAAAAATCAATGGGCCTTCAAATAGCATCTTATGATCAACTTTTGAATTGCACTCCCCTTCTCTTTAGTTCTCTACTTTCTTTTTATATCAATTTTTATTTTCTTACTTTCTTTAAGTTGTTTTCTTTATTATATATTCTTGCTGTTTTTGTTATTGATACAACTTCACATATATGTTTTTCCTTGAATCTGTTTCTTTAAATATATACAATGTAACCTGTAGAATCACAAAAGGGCACGTAGCTCGAAAGCTGAATTATTTCTACGTGTCCTTCAGTATTTAATTTTTTCTTGCTGACAATTTCATGCTTTTCAAATCTTCTAATCGTTTATGTTAGCACTATCGTATCACTTGTAATTATTTAAAATATACTGATAATGAAATGTTGAAGTTGAAGAAGTTAAGATAAATTATGCCTCATTAGAATTTCAACAACCAGGAGCCAAATCCACTAAGAAATCCACTAACAGGAAAGGTAACCATTGGGAGACTTGTTTTGCAACTTTTCAATTCTCTAAATTTTAAACACATTTCGGTTCAGGTATATTCCTTCATCGTTAATAATTGAAACATCCCCACCCGTAGCTACCCCACTTTACGTGCTTCTGAATTCGGTCCAATAAACAAAGTACGTTTTTGTAAATCTTTCGTGCACCGCTACCTGTCAGCTTCAATCTTCAATCTTCAATCGTTAACTCCTAAAGGCTATACAACCAATCTGGAGAATTTACTCAAGGAGCATTAAAAAAGGTAAAAATTAACTTAGGAGTAGGATTAATACAATTTCCACCCAGCGCTCCAGTTTGTTGACTATGCTTCGAAAATTGTAACGTTTTGCATATATTTCGGCATATAAAAACAAAAAACCGCACTTGAATCAAAATAGACATGAATTTTATTAACTGGAACAGGATTTAAAACGTTTTAGTGGTTTCAGTTCGGAAAAACTAGGTCTTTCTTCAAAAAGTCATTGATATATTCTAGAAAACTTGAAATCATTATTTAAAACAGCATCAAATGTAACTATAAGACGTGAATATCTATGAAAAATATTACCTGTCGCTTGTAAAATTTGAGCCAGCTTTTAGTTCTTCAAACAAATCAATGAGATCTCAGTTTTTGATTTGAGTGAGAACAGGAAGAAACGAGAACAAAAACAAAACAAATCCAAAGTTCACGAGGAAACCCATGTGCAAGATCGTTGCCTGGCCAATCAGAATATCTCAAAACCCTCCAGCGCAGTTCCAACTCACTGGGCCAATATCACCTGTCCGCGTTCGTAGGAGGGCACTGGGGTGAGAAATTCGTCATATACGAATTAATTCATTTCTCACACATTCGACTCATCTAATCTAAATCTTTTTTAAAAATTAATTTCTCACATTTTTCGATAATATTTTCTATTATGTATTTTGCTATGTTGGTTCTACTTGGCATAATGGTAGATAAAAAGGTAAACAATCTTTTGGTGGTACAAAACGTAGGGAGCTGTTACCGATCCAGGGTAGTTTTAGATAGACCGGGCACTTTTGAGGACCAAATTTTACGTCTGCCGAGAAATTTCCTATCTTCTTAATGTAAACTGAAATAATGTATGGCCTCCCTAAAATACTCAAGCCGAATGTTCCACTTAGACCCATTTTGTCTATGAATGGCTCAGCACAACACGAACTGGCTAAGTGGCTTTCTGAAGTTTTGGACCCTGTTCTTCAAAAATATTCAAAACATTGTATCAAGGACTCGTTCGCTGAGTTCATGCAAAACTTGAACTTCGAAAACGAAACATCTTTCATGTGTTCTTTTGACATTAGCAGTCTTTTCACTAATGTCCCTTTGAATGAGACCATCAAGATGTGTGCCGACGCTTTGTACCGGAGCGAGCTTAATAGCCCACCATTCCCAGAGGAAGTATTCATTGAACTGATGGAAACTGCAACACGTTCAGTTGAATTCAGCTTTAACAATGAAATGTACCAACAAAAGGATGGTGTTGCTATGGGTAGCCCTATGGGACCTGCCTTGGCCAATATCTTTGTTGGCTTTAATGAAGAGCTTTTGTTTGACTGCGACCAAAAGCCAGGTGTCTGTTTTCGGTATGTGGATGACACATATACTATTTTCAAAACAGAGGCTGAGTGTGATACTTTCCTAAAACGCCTTAATGGCCTTCACACAGCCCTAAATTTTACATTTGAAAAGGAAGAAAATACTCATTGCCATTTCTGGATGTTTTGATTGAAAAATCTGACACTGGATTTCTCACTAGTGTATACCGTACACCCACATTTTCGGGGTTATACACTCGATGGAGTTTGTTTTGTCAAAACAAAAAAAAATCAGCCTCATCAAAACGCTTACACACAGGGCACTAATGATTTGTTCCAAGTCTAAACTCGATTCGGAACTTGAAAAACTAACTAAGATTTTTCTGGAGAACGGCTATCCAGAAGATGTTATTTCAGTTTACATTAAGGAGAAGATAGGAAATTTCTCAGCTGACGTAAAATTTTGTCCTCAAAAGTGCCCGGTCTATCTAAAACTACCCTGGATCGGTAACAGCTCCCTACGTTTTGAAAGGCAAATAAAACAGGCCATAACAAATTGTTTCTTCGCGGTCAACCCACGTGTTGTTTATAGTACAAAAAAGGCCCTTCCGTCCATTCAAAAGGATTGCGTTCCTGCCACAAAAAAAGTTCTGTTGTATATGAATTTACGTGCCAGTGTGATTCTGGCTACGTAGGACGCACCACCCAAAGATTGGAGGATACGATAAAACAGCATGTTCCATCTATTATTAGGAACAAAACCCAACCCCAAAGAGAACAGCCACCTCGGTCTTGCAAATCTAAAATTACAGCTAAAACCTGCGATTCTGCTATCGGGCAGAATTTGCTAGAAAACCCAGATTGTGCAAAAAACTATAATGGCGACATGTTTCGGATTATTGGTAAAGCCCGATCGTCGTTCCACCTAGCAGTTTATTGGTAAAGCCTTGTGTACATCAGTCAGACCTAAGTAAATTTGTTCGGATGTTATACTACTTTCTATGTTAAAACGTTTGTTCAATGCAACCTCTTCATTTAAGAGAAACTTTACAGAAATTTCACACCAGAAGAACAAAGGACAAATGAAAAAAGGGATATGAATGATTGCATATAAAAATTAATAAGCGGGGGGATCCAAATAAGCTCCGGTGGGGTCAGAAAAAAATCGAAAAATTAATAAGCGTCCCCCCCTTCTATTAAGGACCTTAGAGTATGCTTGTAGCGCAATGTCCTGATCTTTCTTCTCGGTGTGACCACACCTCGCGATTCCTACGCATGAAATTAAAGGGAGCTTGCGACTCTCTTCACTCCAAGCCTCCGAAAAAGGAAGGCTGGGGGCAATGTCCCCTCAACATCTTGCTCGAACTGACTTCGGTACTGAGCTGAGGTGTGAAATCTTGAAATTGTCACCTACTCGAGGCACCCTTATCTTCAGATAAAAACGTCATAGAATATGTGCATGACACAAATTACATTACATTGGAAACCTCTGCAGCAGGGGGGAAGCCAAACAAATTCTTTTGATGGTAAAGAAGTAATTTTGCCGACAAAAAGGGTGTGGTCAAAAGAGAAATACCCTTATATGCTGCTTTTATGCGCTTGTGTTTCAAATTTCACACTTTAGTGCCATACTTTGATAACTACTACAGAAATGTTTATACGTTGCAATTGTTGCAAAAAGATTACAGGAAGAGTACAAAAATTTCTTCTTTTGACCGGCAAAAATCCTTAATGTGCCGACACACAAAGTGGTACCGCACCCCCCCAAACTCCCCCCTTGGCGACGCCCCTGCTCTGCAGAATCTTAAAATAAGTATCATCTAGATTACCACAAATGAAAACACACAAATTCTAAATGTGTTTGCCGCCTGGCTACTTTTAAGGTGTCAGTCTTCCATAATTATTCATTACCAACTGCTTCCGACTCGGGGGAGACCTAAAGGCAATGGAAAATGGTTTAAATAAGAAAGAATTCCAAAAATAATCTGAGTTTTGATGAAATAGATTGGGAAATTACTGATTGGAAATGTGACTTGATCTTCAAAGAATATGCAATTAAGCATCTGATTGAAAATAAAAAGTTGAATTAATATTTTCTTCTTTTATGAATAGATATATCATATCATTATCTCATATCTTTCGGTTTACATATAATTGCTGTTTCTTGGATGATCTTTTTAAAGATATAAATCATAAAATAACATGACAATCAGTAAGATTTATCAATGACTTGCCATACCCTTTTAACAAGAAAAGCACATCTCTTGCCATCATGGCTTCCATGTAAAGTAAGAGCACTCCACACTTTTACAAGTGACCTTGAAAAAGGAATTAGGATTCTTCAACATTTCATTACGATACATATATAAAAATACATGTGTGTATATAGATATATAAACCCACAATACTTGGCAAAAGATTTGGAACTCTAACGTCAACATTGAATTCTGGCAGCATGTTGCAAAAAACAACGAAAATGCAAAGGAAACAAAAACTTTTGCACAGATAATATTCAAAAATTTTTAAAATAATTTCAAAATTGCAAATGATGAATGATGAAACAAAGCAAAGATAACAGACAGTTTTAGATCAAAGCAAGTGAAAACTTTTGTAACCTACAAAGCAAATTTTGATTACGGTATCACTCCTAATAATAACAAAAATTTAGCTTTTTTGTATACAGTAAGTCCCCGCATATAAGAAATGTACATATAAGAAACTGCAGCCTGCCAGCACAGAGAATATTTTCTCCTCTATAAGAAACCAGTTAGCCTCATTTTTTTCCCAATTTCTTATAAATGATGCTAAATGGAGAAAATCTTTTAACAAAATTTAAACTTTTTCCGAGAAAACCAACTGAACAAAGTGAACAAAAACAGCAATACAAAAAACAAATAGCTTTTACTATATAAACCAGTTTTAAAAAGAATAGTCTGCAAAACCTTCTGGTTGGATTAAATTGTCATCACTGCCATCAGCAGTCATAAGTAGTCCTGTTCTCTGAAACAGTTTCTTTCTGTTACCAGGATATTCAGAGTTAATTAACCCCCATGCACTACCTAACCATTCAGTCAAAAGAATTCTCCTTTCACTTGCACTGAAAGAAGACTGCCATTTCTCCAAATTATCACTTTCTTCTAGATGTTTATCTAGTTCCTTTCCCATCAATTTCTTTATCAGAAATCCTTCTCCTTGATCAATAGGCTGGCACTTGTCAGTTTCCTCTGGAGGCAATGGGTAAACAACTGTTGATGCTAATTCTCTGCAAGTTGCATGAAATTCCTCTGTCATCTGACAACCAAGGTTATCCAAAAACAAAACATTTTCACTGCTTTTATCAACTGCTGGAGCAAATGTCTGCTTGATCCAGTTTAGTGCAACAGAACGATCCATCCAAGCATTCTTTTGCCAGTACACATGTACTCGCTTGTCATATGCATCCTTTTCTATTTGGGAAACATTGCCTTTTCCCCTGAAAATAATGGCAGGAGGAACATGTTGTTCATCTTCTGGACTTATACAAAGCTGCAGGGTACATTGTCTCTTGTCTAGTCCACTACCTGGTTGGGAGATCCATACACTATTGGTGCCTTTCTCATCATATGTACTTTGTTGGTCAATGACAAATGGACATGGTACTTGATCCATATTGTACCTTCTTGTGGGAACCCAACGGCCCCATTTGTCATCAAGCTGAATTGAATAATTATGTCGCTTTCTTGATTGGACATCTTTTCTTAACTGACGATGGAAGGATTGAATAATAGGAAGCTTTTCAGTGTTACCAATCTTCTTCTTATTTGTTCTGCGACGAAGTGAAATGAAATTCCTCTTAGAAAATCTGTGCAACCAATTTTTGGAGCCTTTGAAGTTGTCAGCCACTTCGTCACCATAAAATAATCGCAATGATTGTCTCATTTTTATCTTCAACCATCTTCCTCCTACTTTTAATCCTCTAGATCTGTGTTTTCTGAAGTCAGATAAAAGTTTCTGCTCTGCAACTGGGTACTTCTTCAAGTAATAATTCCTCAAACGCCGTCTTGTCCGCCCAGTCCCACTACTGTCTGCTCCAATTCTCTTTCTCTTAGCTCTTATTTTATCAGCCTCTTGTTTCAGATCTTGCTCCTGCTTACTCCATTTCCAGACCATGGACTTAGAAATTTGATATTTTCCAGAAACTTCTTTGTACTTATCCTTGGTGTTTTTACTCTTGGCAGCTGTCTCTAAGTCACGAAGGACATTCAACTTGAAATAAATGGTATATGATCGCCTTTTTGATGAAACTTTTGCTTTTCTGGTTTCCTTTGCAGGACTGTTCTGTTTTGGAAATTCTAAATTTATACCATCCTTTTTAGCTTGGTACACTAGTGATGACTGCGGCAGTTCCGACCATACAAAACTCTCTTTTACATTCGCAATAGCTTCTTTATCAGGATGTTTGTACTTAATGTGATTGTTCAAATATTGATTGCTGGTAAAAAATTTGCTTTCTCCACAAAAAGGGCATGTAATGCCATCAGTTTTCTTCTCACATTCAGGCACAAAGTCTTCCAGTTGAACTTTAAAACAGTTGCCTCGTGCTGTCTCAATCTTTTTCGTGAAACCGAATTTACCAAGAGTTGCTTGTTTGCTGGTGGAAGCAGGCTTCATCACTCAGGGATCAACGGATTGAATCAGTGGATTTATAACTTATGACCGTTTGACAGATGAACCGGCGAAACTTTAGGCCCTTCTTGACAGGCCAGTGTTTCAAAAATGCAGTGCATGCTAGTTAGTTTCAGAGTGAGGTCAAGTCAAAAGGGTTTCACAAACAACATCAGCGACACTATCTCTGGACACTAAGACTTTTGAAAATGGCGGATAATTTTGTGTTTTTCTTGGAAACTGTGGTTAGAGGTTATCATGCTTATTTGTCAACATATAAGCTGACACTAGGCGAGATTTTGGTAATCACGCCGGATCCAGATTCAGTAATGCATGATAAATATGTGATGAAGTATACAACAAAGGAAGAAGAGCACATTGTTGGGCATATTCCCAACATTTATCTCGACTTTGCTTCAAATTCACAGAAGATGGTGGGGAGCTAGATGCAGAAGTGATTGGTAAAAGGTTTAATGCTGGAAATGGCATGGGAGTTGAAGTACCAGTCGAATTAAGTTTTGTTGGAAACAAACAATACTTGGAGAAATTCAGGTCAAAAATGATCTCAGCCATAAGGGCAGAGGAAAAACTGAATTCAAGCACAAGCAATAAAGTTGTGGAAATTAAGTTGAAGATTAAATTTCCAACTGAAATTCAACTTTGGGGGGAGGACATGTGATTCAAGAACTACAATATATGTGTACAGACCTTGGTTGTGGCTTTTGTGTCACAAGAATTCTCAAGGGCTTTTTTAGGGAAATCAAAGTCAAGAATGGCATTTGACAATGGACGTCTCAAACTCTCGCAAATATATGACCATACTCTACTACACCACTAATTTGTTGTGTAGCTTCAGCACTAGATTTGTTCAAAGTAGATATACAGTATTTCATACTTATTTCATCCATACTCATCTATTAGGGTATCCTGTGTTATAATGAAACATGTTCCTTGAATTCAAAAAGATGTTTTTTTACACAAGAAAGCCTTCTGTAAAAAGAAAATTTCTTAATGAACATATAAGAAACCAGCCAGCCTGATTTGAAAATATTTTCTTACGTATAAGAAACTCAACAGCCTGATTTGAAAATGTGAGTTTCTTATATGCGGGGACTTACTGTACTGCGTTTAGCTGGCTGCATTTGGCTGCCAACCACAAAATATGTGGCTGCCAACCATTCAAAACAACTGGCAATATCTTGAAGGTGGATAGTCACAATTTACTCCCAAAATGAAACCACAGATGCTGGTGTAAAGTGTTTGCATTTGGTAACGATAGACAATGGATCAATAGAAACAATGTTACTTCTAAATAATATCCGAATTATGCCAGAGTTATGCTAGATTCCAAATTATGCTAGATTTTATGCTAAATAAAGTTACAAAACCTTTGTGAAAACTATTTTTTGGGTTTATGCTAAGGTAGATCAAATAGGCAGGCACGAAATAATAGGCATGCCTTTCTTATCACTAACTTAGCCTGGTAAAAATGAGATCTGAGTCTCATTTTGAGCAGCCTTTTAACACAAGGTATGTAAAAGTTGAAAACCAACTGGCCCCCGAAGAAAATATATATGTTTTTCTGGCCCGGTACTTAAAATAATAAACAACCCCTGATACATAGTAACAAAGGTTTTGTAACTTTATGTTTCTTGCACCAGGCTGAGTCAGAAAATCGTTCTAGGCTATTTTTAGGACAGAACGTTAATCGTTCGTTAGTCTCTTGTTGGGTCGGTTTGAAGCGCCTGAAGTCAGGGTCGAGGGACTGCACAGCGTATTTTAAAGAAAATCTTATATTTGTAGATGAATTTAATAAAGGCCGCCACCATGGTTGGCGCTAAAAATTTTTAGGTTATATTAATCTAGGAATGGCCAGAAACAGCACCTCAAATAGATTTTAACGGGAGAAAATTCAAAGCAATATTCTTATGGTTTTCATAACTAGATTCAGGGCCTAAAATAAGCGTGGATCTGACTCACTTTGTGGAGTCGTAAATTAAAATTGTGGAACTGTAATTGTAGAAAGTGTGGATTTGTAAATAATGCATGTTCTTAAAAGTGCAGCATAACATACCAATCGAAACGCCTAAGAAAGAGATGGGAACATTTTTCAACTCGAAGTGAATGCCCAAGCCCAGCCTTATGTATTGCACTCATTTTTTTAAAAGAAAATTGCGATAAGAAATAAGCAATGGATAATAAAGAAGAATTAAGAAACTTCAGAGCTCGAAGCTTCAGTACATTCGGAGAAAAATCAATTGCGCTTTACGATATTGTTGCGTGCTATTTTGAAGTAAGATGGACTCTGTATACAGCTTTAACTTCAAGACATCATTTCAATTCAGTTTGCTTCTATGACTTGCTTCAAAAAAGACACCGAGCCTTAAGACCACGACCGAGATTATGATTTTCAGTAGATTTCATAGAAAGTTATAAACCATTTCAACTAAGGTGTTTTAAATTGGAGATGCATTGGAAAAATTACCCTCAAGGCTACAGCAGCTGAACGATGATAAGCCTCTCGGTGGTAGCTGGAAGGAATATTCAATTGGGAATGTTGCATAACAGGGACAAAAGTCCTCCTCAGCTTTTTTGCAATAATAGGTTAGAAAATGTTTTGAAAGTTTACGCTAACGAACGCATTAGTAGCAGTTCTTCTGGGAACACGTTTTTGTTCTTTTTGATGATGCTTTATCTTGTGTGAACAAATTTGTATTTTATCTAACTCGGTTTTGTATTTTTATGTTAATTGAAATCTTTTATTAAATGGTTATGTTTATGAATAAGGACAGAAAAGAGCAAATATTTTCTGTAAGGAGTGGTTTCCGGTGTTTCAAAGGGCGTGGCTGTAAAAAAATTTAGGGGCAAGCCTGCTAGTCCCGTTTTAGCCACTCCCTTGTGGGCTGGTGCCAGTGTGACCTGATCTAGTGTAATATTAACATGAAATTGGCCAAAAATCGTCATTTAGCATAAAATCTAGCATAATTTGGAATCTAGCATAACTCTGGCATAATTCTGATATTATTTAGAAGTAACATTGTTTCCATTGATCCATTGCCTATCGTTACCAAATGCAAACACTTTACACCAGCATCTGTGGTTTCATTTTGGGAGAAAATTGTGACTTTCCACCTTTAGGATATTGCCAGTTGTTTTGAATGGTTGGCAGCCACATATTGTATGGTTGCAGCCAAATGCAGCCAGCTAAACGCAGTATACAAAAAAGCTAAATTTTTGCTAATTATTGGGAGTGATACCGTAATCAAAATTTGCTTTGTAGGTTACAAAAGTTTTTACTTGCTTTGATCTAAAACTGTCTGTTATCTTTGCTTTGTTTCATCATTCATCATTTGCAATTTTGAAATTATTTTAAAATTTTTGAATATTATATGTGCAAAAATTTTTGTTTCCTTTGCATTTTCGTTGTTTCTTGCAACATGCTGCCAGAATTCAGCCAAATGTTGCTTCTTCGGCCAAATAAATTTATGACGGCCAAGGGGTTTGATGGGCTGGATGCAGTTAAGAACTTTCCATAAGTAAACAAGACTTAAGAAAGCTTCACCCAGCTTTTGTCCCGGACGTCGCAGCAATCCCTTATTCTGTCGATGCAGAAAGGCTGATTCCCACCTATAACAAGATAGAAGCGGGTGGGGAAAGCAGCATAGCTCCAGAAAACTTATCAAATAGATAAATATTACAATTAATATGCTTGATCTCGCAAGTTTCGAGTTCCGAGAAAAGCTGCAAAGATATAGTTCCAAAAAACCAGAAAATACCAAAGTCTGGGAAGCAAGGCTGATTTAAGGGAGTTTTTGAAGGTGAAAGGAAAAAAATAACTTTGACAGAGACCCGAACAAACCAAGAAAAAGAGTTTTCTTTCGATAACTTTCCGCTCATATATCAAGACATCGCTATAAGTAGCTAATTTTCTTATTAACCCAATTCATATAATGTAAAGAATCAGCTTTTGCTACTTATACTTCATTCATTTAAGAATTTGCCCAATTAGGACATGCTATTTGCACTATGATGGCAGTTTCTATATTTGCCACCTCCATGATGCCAATCCCAGCAATGTACCACGCCCAATTTTTATAAAAAATGTGGATCTGTAAAAATTTCTTATTTTAAGCCCTGACTAGATTCCATAGTTTTATCTGTTGACATGAAAAAGGAAAAGTCTCGCAGGGTTTTAGAATGATCTTTGCATAACAGCGTGTAAGATTGAGAAAAGAAATAACTTAAAAAACAGTTAATTAAACGCTATAAAACGATCAATTGATTAAAAAAGCATTTCCTATTTCGGCACACTCTTGTGGACCAGAAACTGGCCACGGAACGCATTTAAAATTTACTAAAGAGAAAAAGAAAAATATCAAAGAGGACAAAAGAAACCAAAGATAAATAGGATTCCAAATGCTTGCAAAAAATATTTCGAGGTGAACAGCATTCTGCGGGCCGGATGAAATTTTGCTGCGGGTGACCCGCGGGCCGGAGTTGACCCGCGGGCCGGAGTTTAAGAATGGCTGCTGTATATAGAATACAATATTTTATGGAAAGAATTTTTTTCCGAAACGTATCAACATTCTATAAAAATGTGAAAACATCTACAATAAAAAAGACTGAGATGTCAAAAACATTCCAATTCACCATTTCTAACGCTCAAGTCGAATTAAATGCTCTTTGTTGGAACTTATACACACAGATCTACGCTTTGCCGAGGCAATTCATCGGAAAAATTTATGATGTAGCATGTAGTCAAGCATTAATCGTCTATAATAGAATGTTTGCTTTTTTCTTTTGTGGCATAATTTACCGAAAAACTGTTTATTTTCTTAGAAATTATTTGATTTTCTGAGAAAGTGTATTTTTCTCGTTAGCAAAATGGAGGGTTGTGTTTGTTCTTTCAAAATTCCCACAGCTAGAGCAGGTCGCATCCAAATGAAACTAGAAACTTATAAAAAAATCATCTGAACAAAATTCATCTTTGTTCATGGAAAAAAGTCTGCTGGTATTTCGCTCGTTCGCATTCCAAACAAGATAAATTTCACCAGCTGTAGTTTCAACGTCAGAAAGATACGCATACGGTAGATAAGGTGACAAACTACACATACAATAGTATATTTTCTTATTTTGCACAACAGGTTTTTCAAAAATGAATTATGAAAAATTTCCTGAAAGTGGGAGGTTAGATTTGAAATCAGGAGAAGAGGAGGAGAAATCCTAAATCAGGAGACTCCTGCCCAAATTCGGAGGGTTGGAACCTTTGCAAGTATTCTATGCTTTCCTTTAAGATTACACGGTCAAAATTAGGAAACTCTAAAACTAGATTTTCGATGATGTCACACTTAACTAATATTTTGGCTGAGATATACCCACATTAGCAGAGGCCCCTTCCCATAAAATCACTTTTAAACTCATGAACCTTAGTTGTCAAACTTAGGAACCAAGCAAAAATGTTGGTAGCTGTTAGCAAACTTCAAATCTGCTAACTGTCTAACTGCATTTCTGATGATTTGACAAGGGAAGCTGAATAGCCTTATCATCATTATCAGAATCATATTCAATACAAAAAGAATCTCACTTTTCAATGTTATGGAAAATATGTATTTTAGAAGAAGAACAGCCTTCACATACAAGGCCCACCAAAGCAGGATTAAAACCCTCTTGCAACAGTCTGCCTTTGTATTGCCAAATTGATTTCCTTTGTTTGGCACAAAACTATTACCAATCTTCATTCCCCAGTCAAAGAATATAATTTCCATTCTAAAACGATTCATTCTTCACACATTGCAAAACCATTACTATTTTTGTAGAAGTTACAGTAACATTAGGTTTTGTTTGTTTACGTCCATGGCCACATGGCATTACATATTCTGGCTGATATCAGCTGTCAATTGCAATACAACTTACATCAATTATGCAATAGTACCATTTCTGTGCATGCCTTGTGTTTATAAGAGGGAAGCTTGGAATGAACTACTGTCTAGTTGAGGTGTTGGCGAGCCAGAGGTAATAAATATGCATTTAATGTATGATTCAGATTCTTGTCATTTAAATTGGAGATGTCATTATACTGAGTTGGTCATTTTTCATTGCTAACTCAGCCTAGTATATATATGGGTGAGCAAAGTGCATTCTGGGTAAACTTGATATCCAACATAAGTTGACTTAACCTCATACCACTCTAGCCATAAAGTTAAATACTGATAATTGGCAATGATACTGATTTCTTTGAAAAAGCATCTAAAGGTGTGATAGATGTCTTACAAAAGAAAATATAAAAAAAGAAACTAGTAACTTACTCCTCTGGGCAAAGAAGAGTTGCTTCTAGATTCTGATCATCAAATTCTTGTATTTCCAATGGCACAGCAGCACAAACCTAAAGCCAAGTAATTTTATCACAAAACTTGCATATCATCAAGTATAATGAAAAAAGGCAAGAGATGCCTAAAACATAAATGGGAGACTCATCTCTAAACATGAATTGTGACCATTGATTTCATCATAGTTAGATACAATGAAAATGCAACAAAATAAGGCTTACAATAAATGACTCCTACCTGACCATGAAGTGATTTGATTGCTGCTTGTATGATATATGTAAAAATGTCTTCTGTTATATCATGATTTGTTTCTTCTTCCAATTCCCTGAACCACAAAAAAATATATTTCATATTTGAAAGATGTTATTTGATGAAACATATTTTTAATTTCAAAGACAAAAAACAGTTGATACAAAATTCATTTTTCATTTTCTTGAAGATGAACCTGACTATTTGGCCCCTCTTTCTATTGAACGATATAGTGTCTCTTTCCTTCTAACCCTGCTTAAAATCTAGACCAAGTTGCTTATTTTCTTCTTTTTCCAAAGCAATGTGTGCATTTAAGTTGTCAGATTCCTATAAAAATCAAGATAGGTACTTACATTCATATTTGAATATAAAGGCATTATGAAGCCAGATTAATTCACAAGGAATTTCACAGACAGACTTTTTAATCAAAAAAATTTTGATCATGCATGTGTAACAGTGTTTTCCCCCTAATAATAGGATCTGGTAGGTAATAATATGGCTGAAGGTTTTCCTTCCTCTCTTAACTGAAAACACTTGATCAGCAGCAGGCACCTGGTTTGACTTTTGTTTTGAATTGATGAAGTCATACTTGTCCATTGTTTGAGAAAACAATAACCAATTTCCAAAATGTTGAATTCCAAAATATCCAAATAACTTAAATGGTATGAAAGAGGAAAGGGATAACTTGTCCAGAATCAGCCTCTATATATGGGTTTGTAATGAAGACAATTTTTTGAAAAGGTATCGAGTTTTGATTGAAATCTGTAGACCTTACAAACTACTATTTGACAAAAATAGAAAAATAGCCATTTCAACTTCTGCCTCAAATGGACATTATAACGTACCCCAGCTAAACTCTCTAACGAAACTTATTATGCCGTTGTCAAAATTATCAAATCAAACTTTTCGTAAACTTCGCCTTTACCACACGAGAACTGATCACATGGTTTCGACATCGCTCTAAAGAGTTTTTTCCGTCTGTTAGTCTTATTAGTGTTGTATTTGTTGCTTTTATTAATAATCTAGTAAAACGTACTAGTAACTAGTAAAAAGTTCATAATCTGGTAAATAATAATTCATATAATGTAATTATTGTAATTAATAACTGATGCTGACAAAATTGTTTTGAGTTTGACGCTTCTCGATTTTCTCCACCGGCTTTGAAAAAGATTTTAACAATCAAAAATTTATACTAGTGTCCACTTTAAAGCTTACAGCTTTAAAAACAACGTGCGAATCCTGTTTCCACTCTTTTTTCTTTTCGATCCTTTCCTCCTTGGTTTCATGTTAAAAATCCTTATTCACGTGTCGATTGACAAGCAACCATCTTTGTTATTCTTAGAATCATTGTTGAAAACGAGGCTGTGTGAGGGTGTCAGACCCAGACTCCTTGATAAGTGAAGCTCTCGGCCTAAAACCAAACGAACGTGAAGTCAGAGAAAATCTGCTCTGTGCTTCCTGGCTTTGTAATAATCATGTCGACGAAAACCATGATTACGGAATTGGTTGACCAAAGCAGACAACTTGTCCGGCTTGGGAAACCATGGTAAGATATTTTTTGTCTTCACAGCTTTAGTTATTCCTGCGCTTCCATTCTCTCAGTTCCCTTTTCTCAAAAGCTAAGCTGTTGCCACCCCAAGCTTCTTTGGGCAACTAGAGGAAAGAAATTCAGCTTCAAACTTATATTATTTTTATTTTTTGCCTGTCTGAGAGTTAGAGGATTAGCACCTCGTGTACAAAATCCAGTTAACTGAACTCCTTCTCAATTTCTTTAGTATCAAAGACTACTTATTCAGCCTAAGCAGAGGTCAATGTTTAACTCTGGTACATTAATTATTTTGAAATAAAGATGATTCAGGCATTCCAGAGATACAGCCAGTCAAAAAAATGGCAGCTGTTTGGCATAAAAAATGGTTGTGTGACAGATTTTGCTAATCTTAATACTCTTTTATAAGACAAAGATTTTAACACGAAAGATATAAAAAGAGTCCTGAACTTTCAAAATATGTTTGGAAATTGAAAAAAACAAGGCAGATACCAACTATTTAATGGAGAATTGTCAAGAGAATAAAGAGCAAAGCTAGAAGTAACTTTTGTAAATTATGCCTGACAGAAAATTTTTATATAATTCAATCTTTACGGGACAATAAAATACTTAATAATAAAACAGAATTGATAAGCCAATGTAGACACCAGAGCAAACTTCTGATTAGCAATTTTCGATGTATATAGTTGTTCACGATTTATCACTCTTCACAATTAACTTCGTTTGATTATGTTCGATTATTTGTTTTTACCGTTATATCTTGCTTGCCGTTAATTTGTGTTCTTTTATACACCTGATGATTGTTTACACACACAATCGCTGTTACCAACTTTGGCCACAACGGTGTGAGCCAGGCCATTTATTATTATTAATATTATTAACTCTTTATTTGCAATGTTAGCATGAAAAAGGTATAAAATAGCTAAGCATAGCTAACAAAAGCCAACTATTTATAAAAACCAGCAATGGGCTCAAGAATAATGGAAACTGAATGATCAGAAAGTGGAGACATACGAAAATGGAGTAGTGGAAACAAGGATTCGATGTCCAACTTCCATTTCTAAAAAGAGTTTCTTAAGTGGATTGACCTATCAGCATTTGGTAATTGCTCTTCAAGAGAAATATTTATCACTGGGCACGTGACTAATCGCTCTCAAAGATAACCTTGGGCATGTGCCTGCACGCTCGCTTGCGCCCCCCATCAAAAGCCCTGTATATATATCAGGGGCAGCTAGGAGAGATTTTAAACTGCTATTAGAGAAAATCGTGGTATCAGGGCGTGGCTGTCACTGTTTTTTACTTCTAACCACACCCCAATGGTTGTTCTCAATATTGCACTGTTTTTTCTATGCTCTACCTCATCGATACATCTTGATTTTCTTGGCCGCAAGTCAAAAACACCTTGCCATTTTCTATTGTAACGCTCTCTTTCTCATAGTCATTAAGAGAAAAGCAAAAAAATCAGGGAGGGGGGGGGGGGCTATGGCTACGGTCGGAGGTTATTTGATCTCTAGAGCAATTTGGCCCATTGTCAGACTTGTCAGACTCATAATTTTGAATTTGATACTAATCCTAAAAAGATTGTAAAGTTGCAGCACGTTTCTTAGTTCTAAATAAAATTCAGAGACATTCTTTCAAATTTCTACTAAAACAACCTTCATTGGAATATATCTTCAGTTCCGAAGTCATGTCTACACATTCAGTCTTTCAATTACGACTGTAGGCTTTGGCTTCGACGGCCTGCGGGCCGCAGATGAATATCATCAGCTTACGATGAAAAGGCTCTCTGTTCGTAGCCGTAGCCTCTTTTTTTGTTGCTATTAAAGGCCCTCTTTTAATAGCAAAATCATATCGGCAAGTATCGTACATTGAAATACTCCTTAATAAGGACAAATATTTCTGATAAATGCTCATTGTTAACATAAAAAACCAAAGCACCATATTTTGCAATTCAATTTAAGTGCAGATTGAGATTTTTGATGAAAATGACGTAACAGCCTGAGAATAAACTACATATCGCTTCACCAAAATAATAAGAGAGCGCTATCTTTCATATATTTAAATGAAGTCGCCTTTGATGTGTTTATTGTTGTTGTGAAGAAAGTATTGTCTGTCAGTATGTCGTTAAAGCACCCAACGTAAACTAGAAATGCCCATATGATATATTTTAAACGCAATATACCACATGCACGGAAGAGTGAATTGGGGAATCTTGCTATTAGAAGTGACCCGGCTTAGCAAGTCCGCATATATTGGGTCTTTCACAACAGCATGATTGGCCACTTTACGTCACACAAGGAGATACAAACAAAGGTGGATATGAAAGTTGCTATTAGGATTCACAAACCTAATAGCACAATTTCAGGGCTGTGGCTGTAGTATTTGTTTGAGGCCGCCAGATGAATGCGTCACGATAAGTGTCGCTTTACCATGGCCATATCATGCCATATCATTGCAAAATGGCTGGTAAACAGTTAGCGGTCCAAATAAACTGTTTTTGCCAAGGATTTCCAGTACTAGTTTTATTTTAAAGATATATGACCAGTAGATTATGCGAGCCTTTGCTGAAAAAATTGCCATTAGACTAATAACGCTAATACCGCTCCCAGCCGTCCCTGATATATATCATATTTACCAGGCAGTTAAAAAGGGGAATTAAACTTGAATTGAATGGAATTAAAGTTTTCATTATAATTATTATTTTTTTTTCATTTTTTTATATTCATATTCATAGTCATCATTATCATCCCATTGCATCAATCTCCATAGCACCACCCACATCCCCTTACATCACCCACCACCCTTCCCTCCCCCTCTTCCATCATCCCATTTTTTTTCCACTGCGCTGCATTCACACCATTCAACATCCACCAATCCGGCACCACCATCTCACATTTCAAATTCATTCACTCGTTCGTTTCATTTACTCTGATGAAGCCCTGTATGCCGGGGCAAAATATTAGTATATTTCTTAAATTTAATTTATTTTGAAAATTTTACCTCCTGACATTGGATTCTTGTTGTCATATTGCTTTGTTCCTGTATATCTTTCGTAACAACACTCATTGCAAGATTCACAGAATCCGGCGGACAGCCTATCCTGCGGTTCTTCCTTCTTGCACAAAATTGAACTTGCCCTGTCTTGAATTTTGGTGAATTTTATCCCAAACATCACCTGTCTTATGACGATTAAAAGGCAACAGCGATTCTTGTGAGTCCAAAAGTTTGAATGGTGATAACTTCTGATCAAAGACCATTTTATTTGAAATAAGTTTTGAAAATAAGATTTCCACCCAGTCTTATTAAAAAATCTTCACTGACTCCCAAATCTTTTGTTTTTAGACTCAAATGCAATTAATTCGGTTTTTTTGTCATTTGTATAGGGCAAGACCATTAGCTATATGGGGCACTGCCTTCTCAATTGTTGGTTTATATCTAACAGACTGGCAAGTTGTTCTTGGGAAGGTGCCATTTATCAAGGGAAAATATGAGTGGGAAACGCCCAAGTAATATCAAAACAAATGCTTGAAGGTAAGATAAAATGATTTTTTGAAAATTAATCAATTTCAATTTGTTAAATATACATCTGTGGCTACAGGGGAGGGGGGGGCTTAGTTGTTTAGCCTGTTATAGCATGTAAGACCTCTGTTGGAATTGACAGGGGTAGCTGTACTAAATAAGATTGTATTTTTAAATCTTTTACACCCCATTCCCCTTATTGAAGGGGCCTTTCTCTCTATCTTAGAATTTCCTTTGCCAGCCCTTGCAGAGATCCTGAACTAGCAAGAACTGTTATTTCAGTTTTGCTAAGTTGATATCAAAAGAGTATTGTTATCAAACTAGGAAGCATTTGTCCAATATTGAGTAACCCAAATGCATTGATGTATTGCTGTGGCTTTTTATTTTATGCTCTGTATTTTCAATGTTAGATAAAGCCATTTTATACTAGGTTTGTTTTGTTTATTTTTGTTAATTGAGAAATGAAATATATTCTAGCAGCCTTTGTTTAATAGAGAAAATGAACAGCGACAAAGAAAAATGTATTTATTAATCAAACTTCTTGTTCATCAAGTCCTTATAGGACATGTCCTTTCAGCTTTCTTCCTTTGACATGCAAAACTTTAGACAATAATGCCATTGCTTCTTTTAGATGGATTTCCAATAAACCTGCTGGACAAATGTGCAGTTAACACTGAATTACATTTTGTGTGCTTGTTCTAAGGACAGTTAAGTTCATCAAGTTAAACATAGCTTCTTATATCAGTAAATATAATATGTCATTTAAAATTGTCTTGAATATGAAAAACTTATTTGTGCAAGATCAAGGAGTTATTGCATGGAATCAATTTCTGTTTCAACTTTTTTGCACCCTCTTTCGTGGTCAGTATTGGGAAATAGGAGACACTTAGATTTTTTTATGCCAGTTACACCATGAGTAAGTTTCTCTGATGTTTCACTCAAATGCCAAAAATCATGTTTTAAAAAGGGCTTCAAAGAAGGGAAAAATTTTGAGACATTTTGAGTCAAAAGCAAATCATATTATTAGTTTTTATCTATCCCATATAAAAGTTTACACTGATAAATTACTAACTAACAAACTAGTTTATAACACTGCGAGGGTGATACCAGGAGGAGTAAACTATCATAACTACCATCTGGCTTTTAACATGGACCTAAAAATCAACTACAAAATGCTACTTATTTCATACAGGAATGATCTTACAAAATAAACAAAAAATAGAATATTTAATGCGAGAGGAGAATAACGCTTGGGGCTGTGAATATAATCTAGTCTTTTTTTAAAAGATATTGCATTTGAATCAAGAGAAAATTGTTCATTGCCATACAGGATGACTTCAATAACTCAATATTTTAGAGCCTTATTAAACTATGATTAAATTATTAGTTCTGAAGGCAGAAAGTGTAAACCAGCTTTTGAATAATTTCCAATGCTCCAATACTCAATATTTTCACATATTGATCTCAAATGATTTGACTAAAGGTACTTATTGATCAATGAGTTTGTTTCATGTGCCAGCTCCACGTATTGGAATTTTTTTTGCCATTGTAGAGATAGTTCTCATTTGAGACGTTTCTAGCTCTCACTTGGTGAAAATGTGACCAAATATGTTGGGTTGAGGATTAATCTATCGTAGTGGGTCTTTTTTTAACTTTAGAGGTCCTAACGAATCAGCCCAACTATGCAATTTTTTGAATGTTCAGTTTGGCAATCTATCCACATGCAAATGATTGGATTTTGTTACCTAAAACCTTGTGTAAAGAAATCATGCATAGAACAGAGCTTCGTAATAAAAATAACAACGCTAGGAAAACTTTGACTTTCAAAAAAGAGCTATGTAAGGCCAAAACTGATTGCTGAAGAAATATTGATCTTCATGACCTAATCGATATTTATGGATTTGAAGAAAAAAAATTATAAGGCCATTGCTCTCAGAGGTGCAAGCAATCTCACGTGTAGATTTGATCGAAGATATAGCAACGCTAGAAGTTTTAATAATCATGATTTTAGAAAAACCAAGAGGCAATTGTTCTCAAAAAAGGTGCAAGTAAACTCGTGTAGCTTTGTGTGAAGATGGGTAAATTAGAGTTGTGAAGCTTAAGTAGCAACAATTTTCAAAACGTTTGCAACACGTGTAGCCAAAAGTTTAGGGACCGGATGAATCAATCTTGCAAATGACATTATAAATCCAAATGACGAATGTGTAAAGCAATTTGAATCACAGCCAAGTATATGTGAAATTAAAAGAGAATCTCAAGTTGCCTCACAAATTTTACTTTTGAGATGTCACATTTATGAAAATTTTGTTATTCAAACTGAAAGCTTGATTTGCTCAGTTTCTCGCTCTATCATGAAATGCTTGGGCTATAGGCAGAGCTGTACAAACTTTTGGTATATAAAACAAAACAGTTTTAAGTTGCTACTCTTGAGTTTCACCCTTAATGCGATCCTCGTGCAACTGTTAACTTATAGACAAGTATTGAAGTGTATTATATAACGATTACCAACCTGTAAAATGCTGTTTTATCTAAGGATAATTTTCCCAAAATGGAGGTAGGATCGCTATTTAAAAAAGTAGACGCAAAGATGAATCTAAGTCTTACAGACAGTATCAAAGATTTATGCAAAGTTGATAAAAAGTCAGATTGTTCCTCTTGTCCAAAGTATCCAGACCATACTTAATGTAGGTTTCAGGAAGACTATGGTTCACAGCCTGCACATCTTCGTCTAGTGGAAGCCTTGAAGAAACCTTTGGATAGCGGAGGAATTGCAGGGGCTGTTCTGGCAGACTTTTTGCAGACCTTTTATTGTTTAAACCATAAATCATAAATTGGAAAAATAAATAGAATGGCTTCGATCAATCTGCCTTGCTACTCACCGACAGGAAGCTTTAGGTAAAAGTCGAGTGTCAATTCAGCATGTGGAGAGAAACCGCCCTCGGTGTACTACAAGCTCTTGTCTTAGGGCCTCTTGTGTTTGAAATATGTATAAAATGACCTGTTTATGTTCCTAGAGCGGACTAAAAAAGATACAACTATTTTTTGCGCATGGTGCTAACATAGAAAATGTCATTGTAAATTGTACATGATGCCCTGAAATGTAATAAATTGGTTCCCAGGCAATTTCCTTTCCTCTTCAAATTATCATCGGTCATTGCAATGAGATATTCAGATGTCGGTGAACAAGATCAAATTTATTTCAAACTTTAAAGTAAGGGATGAATTTTTATAATCTTCCTCGGCTTTTGGGTTGAGCCAACTATCACGGTGTGTGTTTTGACAGTATCCAAAGAAAGCTCATTGCCCTGCAACAATTTCTCAAAGCAGGAAAATTCTGAATGGACAATATCTTCAATCGCAACTTCATCGGCCTACATAGTCGCTTGTACCCTGTGCAGTGCCAGGACAAAACAAACGGTCATCAATAAAATACATAGAAATCGAGGTGCAAGCAAATATCCTTGTGGCAATCCTACATTACTTGCTTCTGTATCGGATGATACACCGTTGATTTGCAGAACTACGTGCAATTATCTTGTGGAAAAATGGCTAAATCTTTGATGTTTTAGATTATCAGTTGGTTTACTGTATTAAACGTTTCCTTTAGATTGATGATGGTCATTGCAGTATGTTTTCCCCTGTCTTTATTTAAGTACCCATCATTGTTATATTTGAACATAGGTCTCAGCTGTATGTAAATGTCCAAAGCCTAAAACCATGTCAGAAGTACAAGTATTTGTTAGAAAAGAGGTGCTTCTAAAGTTGACTATAAATGTATTTTCCAAACAGTCAGGGAGGGGGGGGGGGGGGGACATATAAGATGGATCTTGGCCAATAGTTTGAGCGACCATCAGCCTCACAAGTTTAAAGATAACAGAAACACACGCTGCCTTCCAGTGGGGAACACTACAATCTCAATTGAAGGCCTATCAATTCTACCGAGAGATCTAGAGATGATGGGAAATGCGATTAAGATGAAATGGCTAGCAGTACCGTCCGATCCAGTGCCAAGTCATTATTAACTTAAAGTTCTTCTCTACACCAATTGGATTGACGGCTTCAAATCTGAATTGTGTGTCAAATTGATTACCAAGATACTAATCATTGGGTTAGGCTATCGCGCTATGCTTTTACAATTTATTTCCCCTACACTGCAGAAAAAAATAGTTATAAATAAGGCAGTTTCATCATCTTGACAATCTATCTTAGAACTTTATATATTTGTGTGATTTGATATTTTGTCCAGCAAAAATTTCATTGTCTCTGAAGAAATTCGTAAGATTTGAGTCACCGAGGCTTCTGCTTTAACAGATGGCTTTCAACGACAAAATATTACTTGTGGAGTAGCGATATGTGTGTCGTCGAATCTTCACATCTTCCGTTTTCTTCTTCAATGTTCCTTTTGTATTGAGTCTAAACTGCAACCCAACTCCCTCTTTATACATGTTATAAAAGGAAGGAAGTTTTGTTACCCAAGGGTCTGTGGTTGGGGAGTTTAGTCAGGAATTTGTGGGATAGATTCTTTACTCATCTTGATGCCCTGTTCATCTGGTTGAACCAAATTGCTCGTAGCGCCTCGCGGAATTCGTGCATTCTCCACGCGTAAATGAGTGCATTGATTCCGGAATTGGTCCATGCGAGAACTGCTGATATCGAGTGTGCAAATGCACAGTCAGTACAGTGTCCTAGCCCTGTCAACAAGTCGATTGTCGATTTTGGGGCCCACATTAGCACAAAACACAAACATACAACGTTTGTGGCGATCGCTCGCGTAAATTCGGACTTCCTCTGGCGCTTGATAACTGAAAATAGTCTGACAAAAGAAGCAAACGATGTTTTAGGCCCGCGCTTCTTCTTCTTCGTCGTGAGTGAATCAGGACTGTAGTAAACTTTTTTTCTGTCGATTTTGTTCCTTGTGATTTTCTGAAGGCGCAATGCTCTGGAGCCGAAGGCTGTCATGTTTTCATGCAGCGGTTTTGTGGAATCAACTGATCGCGGCTTTGGAGAATTTTCCTCTGATTCTCTTTCCACGCAGAAGATGTTATCAATGCTTTTTTGTCGCGTTGTTCTCCTTTCAGTCAAATTTTTCAATTTTGCCGTCCAGTCATTGCTACATTTTGTATTGTCCTCACTTTCCTCAACACATAATTGCAGTGCCGTTGCGCCCATATTTGCTATTTCATGGTTTCTTTCACACTTTCCCCCCTCACTTAACCTTTCCTCTACCCTCTCTGACAATGTAACACATTTCATGTTTTTATTTTTCTCCCCAGTATTCATTCTGTCCTGCCGTTCTACCGCTCGCTCCGCAATACCCGGTACTTTCAAACTTATATTTTTGTCTTTGATGAGCTTTTCGCTGTCTCCATTTGAATGTTTTCTTGAATCGCTTGGAGACAGCAAATCACACGCTTCTTTCTTGCCTAACTGGTTTGTCCTTCGGCCCTCCGAATCGACATCGTTTAGTTTTGTTTTCCTTCTGATATCATTTATAACTGACAGTTCCTTCGATAGCGCTCTCTCTACTGAAGAATGTCCGGACTGCTGTTCGCGCTGGCTTTCGGATTCGTCGTCTGCCAGTGCTGCATTTATATTGAACGATTCCTCAATTATAAAACTCGTAGCTGCCATTAGGCCATTCTTAACATCTCCTGGGTACGGCGTGGGTCGGATTCTTCGAATCTGTGCGCGTACAATCAAGTAAACTTTGAGCTGCATGAAAATCATTATACCACAAACAATGTAGAATATGACAAGAATAAGGACGAGGAACCAAGTGTCAATGTACTTGACAATGTCACACTCTCTGATGTCATTGTCAGATTTGTCTGTAGCCAAGAAGACAATCAGCATCCCGAATGACAATATCCAAGAAACTGCCAGCAAGCCACCGACCACTGACTGACTGGCGATTTGGTGATAATGCAGTGGTTTAAAAATCGCAATCCATCTTTCTGCTGAAACGGCGATGAGATTAAACAGAGAGGCGTGCGTGGTTAGAATCTCACACGATAACGCAGCTCGACACAAATCTTTGTTCTCGGGTAGATATCCCGAGGCAGTTGCTAGAGGGATCCAAAATAGTCCAACGAGAACATCAGCTGTTGCAAGACCGATTAGAGGTACATTCCTTAGCGTCTGCAGTCGACGCATGTTTAAGATCAACCAAAGCACTATCGAATTCGTAAACACGACGAAGATTAAAACAGGAACGGATATGTAAAGCCACATTTTAACAAGACATCGCCAAATCCTTCATTTGCCTTTATCAAGTCTACAGATCTCTTTTAGAAATCAGTTAAACGCAGCCCCATTTTCATCCAGTTTATTACATAACCAGTACCGATTGTTACCAGTGTCAATATTATGTTCTCGTCTCCATTAAACGTTGTGTATTCCAAGGAAGTTGCACCCTCGTCAAAGACTGTTATGCTTTAAACGCTTTCTGTATCGTCGTAGTTCATTAAGAATAAGGTGGTTTTAGTTGTTTTTCAGTTACTATTGCCGCCCTGTTAAAATATTCATGTCTGGTTAGAAATGACTACTGCAAACTCGAGTAACCATGTGGTTTCATAAGATTTGAGTTTTCGTATTCCTTATCAGTCCTTCGCCAAGGAAGCGCAGGGACACCGATTCGTATTTCGACAGACAGAATCACTTCCATGTGCTCTAAAGAATTTGATTGTTAAATCTTCTTTACTTTTCTTGTGCTATCCATGATACGACTCCCCTGTTCACTAGAAGAGGAAGTAAATCTCATTTTATTTCTTCTGTCAACCAGCAATACTTTTTGGTCAACAAGAGATGCTATCCACAACAACATAGTCGAAGGGGTCTAGGAAAGTGCACTGTAAGGTACATCTCTAGCTTTAAAGATGAATGAACAAACAGGCAAATTGGTTTTGATTTTGACTCGGTGACTCTTCGTTTAACTAGTGTATAATGTAGGGACGACTCACTGAAAGGCTTATTAGCTTTCCAAAACAAACAGACAACGTCCACGTGATATGAACGAGCTGTTTCATCGAAGCTAAACCTAAAAATAGACAAGCACGTGCTACTTATGGTTCTGAAGTCAAACTATTTCAAATGTAAGTCAACCAAATGCCATTTTTGAGAGACTTTATATTCGATAATCAGAACTGTGTCTTGGATAGTTCTGTCTGTTCTACACAATAAGTTTGATCTAGCACAGTTCCATTCGAGAGTGGTTAAAACAGATTTTAATAGCGATGAGTTTTGTAAAAAAAGATTTCCACTGGATTTGAATGAATATCACCCTGTATCTGAACTTTATATCGCTGTTTGGCCAAATGCGAAGAATTTAGCATCGATAGTTCAAATAAAGTTTTCTTTTGGCAGATATAAAGTGGCTACTACGACTGCTGATTTGTGAATGATTCTGTTTTAAGCCCAAAAATTGTCTTTAATGATTGTTAAAGAGTTAATGTGCTTTCCAAGTAAAAGCATATCAATTTCTTGTTTTCCTTTAATATGGTTAGGAACACACCCTGACATTAGATATCAACTTTAGCCTTAAAACTAAGAATTCTTGTAATCTTGATTAAAATTTCTGATGGTTTATAGTGCAGCTGTCTCCCTATCTTGCTTTGATGTTAGTCAAGCTGTATATTTGTTGCAAATTTCTATGCCAAGTAACAAATCGTCAACATATTGTTTCAAACCACTCATCAATACACCCTAGCTTGTTTTAGCTGTCATGAAAACATTTATAACTGAGAAAAGTCTTCTTCGGAATCTTACCTTCTTCCCTAAAGAAGCCTCTATAATAAGTTTAGAATCTCACCGCACAATTTCTTGCATTATCTGCTAACAGCGAAGACTTTCTTTGTGCGAGCTGGATCCTTTACAAATACATTCTCAATACGGCGTTCATAGTCTATATGGAATTCAATTATTGCTCTCCTGGCGTTGAGTATCTAAGATGTAGCAAGAGAAACGTTTTTTGCATTGGCTAAGCTTGATATGGTTTTGCTAGTGACTAACTCTGTGGTATCAGCTTTCATTTCGGCGATTATCCTTTGCATCATCTTATAGCTTGTTCGCGCAAAGGCTGACGTAGTTTCGTGAATGTCGTCTGTCTTTATTTTTGTTTGGCAAATCAATTACTTCAGCTCTATTAAGCATCTTATCATATTTCGAAGGCGTTGATAACGCTGCTTTAGAATGTCAGAAGTAATTTTGTAATTATGGAACGGTGTGTTTAAATCTGACACTGTATCAGCTGTAAATATCAGCAACGTGAGTCAAACATTATTTTTTGATGGCGAAACCACTACCTCTCATTCTATGTTGTCATCGCCATATTTCAATCCATTATTTATCATGTACCAAAAAGGACAGATGTTTGAACATACGAATTATGACAGGACAATATGGAGCTTATTACAAAAGCCTCTAAGACTGGAGTTTAAGGAAAACAATGAAAAGTTCTAATATCTCTTTATATCCAGATTAACCCTGAAGAGCAGTTTGTTTCGTAGGTTTACACTAGTTTCTTCAAATTTGGCGCAAATGCATTGTGTCCCATTATTCTTAGGACGGAAGCTGTTCCATGCATTAACTGATTTGACAAAATCAAGACAAAGCAGGCATTGCGTCCATTGAAATATGTCGCCTTATTTTGGGTTGCCAAATACTAATGCCAGATTTTCAACCAGAATCGCCTCAAATATCTTATCTGAATTGAGCCATTGTTTAGCTCTTGCATGTTATATCATAATATGACAGCGAGTGACATCATAATACAACATAGACCACCTTGCAATTCTTTACTTCAAAGTTTCAAACAGTTATGAACAATAGACTAAAGTTATCAAGGGTAGATAATCCATTTTTTGTCTTTTTGTTGCAAAAAAGTTCTTTTATTAAAATATATATCTAATTTACCTTGCCATTTGAAACACTATACCAAGATGAAGCATTATTACACGGGTTAAGGCTAAAATATCGCACATTTTTGTAATTCAGACTCAAGCATTACAGCTCAAAGTGACGGTTCATTGGTCATTCTTGGTACAATTTCTGATGCCTCAAGTAGCTCCAAATGAGTACTTTGGTGGATCAATTGTTAACTTATGAAAATTTTATTTCATGCAACCTACTTTGTTTTATTACGTAACAGAACTGCAAAATCGGTTGAAACAAAACCAGGAAGCTACAATTGGTGGCACAATACATTTTTATGTACGAAGAACGAGTTCATAAATTGAAACTGGCCTCTACGTATGTGCTCCGGGCATAGCTTTCAGTACGTATAACTATGATTTGTAAAAGACATACATAGAGATCGTCAGTACTGGCTTTTTATCCGAATGCATTAATTCCTATCACAGTTTATGTTCAGCTGCATTCTGATTTGCTAATCGTATGTTTTATCTTCCATTGTATAATTACGCTGGTCTGGAACTCAGTTACGCAACACGATAAGACATGGTAATTAAATCAGATGCATCTATGCCTCTGCGCAGGCTTAACTTCGTCAGAATTTAAGTCCTGTTAGTGAAGGCCCTGAATGTTGCAGTATTTAGTCAATTCTGCAGCGCATTATCGAAGTTTAATGAGAAGTTTTAGTGCCTCATGAGCAAACGAGAATTTCCGAGCGTCCTTTTTACTGATTTTTCACAAATTTCATACAATAAGTGAATACACCTAAAGATGAATATTTAATAAATCGTGAATCCTAAATCTTTGTCTTTCTTATCAGTGCTTCAAAATGTGAAATGTGGCTTTGCAGCTAGCATTTTGGTTGTCTATCGGCTGAATTTTCAGACTATGGTGGTTTGCGTAAATACGACCGTGTGCGCTAATGACGTTTGGATGAAATAGAGAGACTCAATGAAACCAGTTTGTCTGCAGCGAGTTTATTTGAACGTTTTGCAATTGTGATAAATGAATTTTGATTACCTCTGGTTTTCATTGTCTCTTTTACCGTTTGACTTTGAAAGCCATAATTTGAGCGCAAAGAGAGACACATTTTTTGAGATTAACATATATTGCCTTTATTCATATTTTATGCAATCATTACATACAGTGTGTCGAAAGGAAACATGCATGCAATCGTCTCCTCTTTTAAACAAGTAAAATATAACTTGATAATAATGTTTACAATCAAACACTTTTCATACGCAAATCGTAGAACCGCAAGTCGCAATCAGAAACCAAATTTAGAGCTTGCGTAGTGTAAAAAAACGCGGTAATCTTTACTTTACACTAAGAGGTAATCTTAGTGCATCCCACAATTAAAGTTTGTTTACATATCATGATTATTTCTAGCATCGTGATATAATTTGGTGATTGACTGGTTTAGTGACTATGTGGTCAGTTTACAGTGACGTCTTCCTAAGTTTAATTCATTCTACGTGGGTACTACTGCAAATTACAAGGATGGCAGCCCAAGCCATGGCCTGCTCCTTGTATTGCAGGTAAACAATGTGCGATGCACCAAAGACATCTATTCAAACTACAACAGGAATCAAATGCTTCGACAATCATTCGTATCTTTTGCCTGAATTCATGTCACTTCTCTTAAAGCAGCAGGTGAAGATATTTACACGGAGGATAGGAACAATCCTGATCATGAGAGTGTTACCAAATACCATTATCGGAGAGGAGTGTCTCTCTTTGTCACTTTGATTCGAGCTCTGCTTCACTACATCTACTATTGAATCACTACCTCTTCATTCTGCACATGGCTTGCTCGCTTTATTTTGTAACCTGTGTGTTTTGCCAATCTTGTTCTAGAACCGTAAGTTCAAGGTGCTGCAAAGCAAAATAATATTTGCATATTAAAGAGAAACAAATTACTGTCCTTAGGGCTTTGACTGTTCCAAATATGTGGCAGTTTTTGTTCCAAGCTGAGACTGGTGAAGCTACGATACACGGATAATGGCCTACCTGAGAAAGTAAGGTGCTTTTGCAAGTACTTGCTCGAATTCGTAGAAGTCCAAAACATCATCACCATTCCAGTTTGATTCTTCAAATATCTGTCAATTGAATTCGAATCTTAGTCAGCTATGGACTCAAATTAATACAACTCAACTGACGGGGACTATCTGTTATAAAATTTTTTGAAATGAAGCAATTGCTAATTGAACTGAGAGGAAATGGCTGGCGCAGTCCTACTGGCTGCTCCAAGTGCTGCTTTCACAACAACCAAGCAAATTGCTCGCAGCATGGCAATCAGTGATAAATATTCTTTCATCCAATTCATCACAGTAGCCTTTTACTTTTGTAACGAAAGGTATCTTGGTGGGTTTGTTAGAGCATTGTGTACGAAACATTTCTGGAATCTGATGAGAAAAGGTAGAAAAATTGCTTTACTTGTTTTTCGAGTCAAGCGTTGAAATGAAGATTAACCGTAACTCAACAGATGCAGGTGAAACTCTTATCAATTTTGCCACTTCTTACCCGGGAAGTTTGCAAATCATCTGCCGACTAGATAAACTTCCAAGAGATAAATCTACTTAAAAAAATCAGTTTTCACGCAAAGAATGCTCGAACATTTTTGGATATGGTAAAGATTCCGCGCTTTATCAAAGTCGGTTTTGTCTTCAGTAAAGAAGATGTAAAATATACATAAATATCTTTTGAACCAGCATCTGATATTTTCAATCGCTTGTTCTACATAAAAACGGGTACCTAGCACCACGTTAGAAAATCAAATTAAAATTCTTCTTGAATATTTCAATTCCGATGAAATCTGTTAATCTGCACAAATTGAACAGATGCACATTTTGTCAGCAAGTTTTATGTGTACTTCGTAGAGCTGGGTCATTTCCAGATAAAAAAGACATTGGCATAGCAAAGATTGCTGAGAAAAATCTGGATTTGTGTTTTTTTCAGACAGTGCGCTTTTACAGTGATCTTTGTCTATCGTTTATTTCAAGAAATAAGATAGGAGTCAAATCGATTTATATCCTTGCTTTTTTACCCTATGAAAAAGGGATTGTGATTCCACAGAGGAAAATCAAACGTAAAAGAACCCCAAAACTGACACATCTCCAAACAATTGGTTCATGAACTTTGTTAAATGTCTTATAAACACAACATTAGAAAGTAGAGTTCGGTTACTGGATGCGCTAAGATTGTGGGCCTTTCACTATTTTATACTTGTGCTTGCAAGAAAACTGTTTTCATAATGAGCTTTGCTTCATTCAAGTATCAAGCTCGTGTAAGGTTGAAGCAACCAGTAAAACCAAGGTACCTACAGTTATTATTGGCGGTATTATAGCATGTTATAGGATAAAAGATCGAGAGAAGTGAATAAAATGACTGAAGCAGAACTTGATTCATTGTTGCCTCACCTTGTCAATAATTTCGTTCCTCTCTGAAGTTTCTAAGCTGCTGTCTGTAATTCTGTCAAGAACTGCTAGGAGATCATTTCTTCCCAACTTGGAATCATTGTCCATATCTGCAAAGAATAAAGGCTTTGTATTGATAATCAACTGAAAATAATCAAACCCTTGTTGTCAGAATTCTTTCTAATGTTTGTTTAGAGAAATGTAAAGTGTTTGTAAATCAAATGCTGCTTCCTATTTTGAATACATGGACATTGTAAAGAAACAGAACATGAAAAAGGGTGTTTTTTCTTTCTTAGGTGTGCCTAAATGAAAGTGCAACCAATTCTTTGGCTTCACCATTCTTGTTACATTGCCACATATATCCTCGCACTCTTAAGAATGTACAGGTAGAATACTGATAATGTTTGCATGATTACATGAATTTGATAGAGACTGAACTCCAAGTTTCTACGCGTTGATATACACGTGGACTTTGGGCGACATCATTTAGACATAAGATACAAGAGATAAGATAAAACCAGCTTTAGTAAGCACATGAATGTATAGTGCTCTAAGATTGTAAAACACAAAAATTCTAAAGTGCCGCTGCATTGCATACTTAAATCCATCATGATTTACATTTCTGGGTACTCGAAACTCCAAGGGGAGAATGAAATTGCATGTGTAAATTTCCAGCAACCAGAAGCTCTAGCATATTTGGGGGGGAGAGGGGGGAATGAAAGGAAAATGCAAAGACAGTTCGAGTTATGGGAGACCTGAAATATTTGTAGCCTTCAAGTATTACTAGTACGGCCTATATCGTATGCGATTAAGATCATAATTCTGATCATTGTCTTTCTCGAAGGAGATATTTTCAATTCAATGTTTACTGCAACAGAGCAGCTACAAAATTTTACAACACAACATAAGATCGAGCTGTTCTTGTAAACGTTACTTACCATAAATTTTGAATAAATAAGCGATCTTGATGCCAGACGGCGCCTAAGCAGATAAAGCTGTGCATATTAATTGCATTACATTACTACAGAACCTAACTGGCAATTTTTGTGAAAAAATACTTTATTAATGAGTATGACGACCCTTCCTGACACAGCAATAAGGGCAGCTTTCGCAAAGGTAATCTTTAGTAGGCTGGTTTGCAATTTTGAGTTATCTTTTCATTTACTCTGTTCCAAATTGTGTATGCATGATCGCAAATCAATAAAAGAACTAAGAACAATTATGCAGTGGAAATAAGTAGGACTTGAGACAAAAGCAAGAAAGACTTGAGACGAAAGGTTAAAGCAAGGTTCGTCAAAGAAGAGTGATATAATACCTTCCTTGTTAATTTTGTTTGTTCATCATGTTTTCTGCTTGTTCATTTGATACATTTTTGTTTTTGCTCAAGTGTTGAAATTTAACAAAATTGGTTCTTTTCAAAGTAGGTTTACTTATAATCTAAAGGCAAGTAAATGTTTGACGAGAAGAGGCTTAATTTCAAGATTGTTGCTCATCCTTAGTACTGTACGTTCTATACTTTTTGATTGCTTCACGGTTGGAAAGTCTGTGGCAGTTTGTATCTGTTACCCTATCTTGTTCCTTTTCTACCTGTCCAGTAAACGAGTTCGGCAAAAGATTGTGTACAACAGGATTAAGCAAAGAAGCAAGATGTCACCTGACTATTGAAGACAGAATGCATATCCAGAAATTCGTCAAAGTTTAAGCTGTCAACTTGATCTGTAGAGAAAACATGGTAGATTCTGTCTCTGAAGGGGTTTTCCTAAAGGGAAAAATGAAGGTCACAAATGATATTGATGAAAGTGTTTTTCCTACTTCCGTGGACTAAGACAGTGGCAAAGCAAGTACACGAGAGCAGGCATTAAGGCACGATTATTGTTGGCATTGAGACACTAAATGATGCCGCATTCAGTACAATATGGCCTTGCCACATGTCTTTTTTCCTCAAACATCTTATCTGATATCTGAACCGCTATTAGTACGCAATACTGAGGAGCTTAATTCTTTAGGCCATCTTTTCTTTGGTTTGACGAGTGTAGTGCAATTGAAACCACATGGAACTCACAATCTCAAAAGTTGTAGGACGAAGTGACAATTTTTCACTTCATAAGCTGACCCTCCGGCGTTTACTCTTTTGCACTTGCGATTCATCCCATCTAGTAACCCATTGCCTGTTTTTCTTTCATAATACTGAGCAACGCCTAAAAATTGGTCTTGAAGAGATTTAGCACTTAATGTTACTTTGTAGCATTGTAACACTTTATATTACTTTTGACAAGAGTAATGCATACTAAGTGAATGAGTAAATCTTCAAATTGGTCAAAAGTTCTAAAGTTTTGCCTCTCACGTACCTCCAGCTCCTTCATTTTCCACAGTTTCTCCTTTGGTATTCGATAAGCCTTGCTGTACTTGTCTGGAACTGAGTCATCCAAGCTCTTGAATTTTCTATATATTCTATAAAAAGTCAAAAGTAAGTAACTGGTTTTGTGGAAAAGCAATCTAGAGTAACGTCGCCTTTTTTGGAACGATTTTAGTAAAAATTGTTTCCTCAGCTTTTTCGTACTTCTTAGTAAAATCAACGCATTAGAAACACATTATTTGTTGTATAATCTACATGCTTGAGTAAAGACAGTCTTATCAGCTTTTCTCTCTTTCTACACGTGCAACATTACTGCAGGCCACTTTTCTTCGTGAAAAACTTAGGCCATCGCCCTTTCTGGAACGACTCAAATTTAGGCATGCAGAAAAGCGCACAACAGAGAAAAACCGGGAATTATCATCTGCCTTCTTTCCTTCTACCTTTATCATTCGTCAATATCAAATCAGACTTTCGTTGAGCCATTTGTTTTCAAATTCAGAGTTAAAAGAGAATAAAGTTATCATCCCCCAGTTTGGTTCTCTTATTTGAATGAGACTTTAGCACGTGTCACACGTTTAGCCACTCATAAATTGTTGAGCATCACAACAGGGAACCCGCACTGATCTAAAAAAGGCTGGATCGAACAACCTATTGACTATTGTTCTCCTATATCAGCAAGAGGAAGCGATCGAAACTCTCCATCTTGAGACATCTCGCGTCTAAAGCTTTGGGCTGGCATTTGTTAAAATGGTGCACACACAGTGCTGCGCTTTAAATTGTGCATTAATCATTAAATTCTTAAATATTTTAAGAGACAACAGGCCCAGGAAAATTAGTGAACAGTGGATTCTTCGTTGCATAAGCAAAAACATTCACGGCAAAACTGTTTAACATCACTTCCGAATGCTGCAAGTTTGTGTTTCAACGGTCACTTTGAATTTTGCTATGAGAAGCAAGTTGAACTAAAACCAATATGATTGCACTCTAGACTGATACAACACGGCAAGGTCTCAGGATTGACGCTGCTATGTGGATTCATCGCTGGGCTGGAGAAGCTCGATCCAGTCTTTTTTATATCAGTGGGAACCCGCCGTTCCATCGAAGAAGCCACAAGGCCAATGGAACTTTTCCTAATAAATTTCTAAATGTTGTTTCCTCACTATACTCTAAGGTGAAATCTAGTGTAAGAGGTGATAATATACTATCTGACTTTTTTGTTTTTTCTCGTGGTGTAAGACAAGGCTGTTTGTTGAGTCCTGTTTTATTTGCTCTTTTCTTGAATGATCTGGATTGGTGAAGCCTCCTCCGGCATGTCCTGGGTGACGTTAAAATCAGCACGTTACTTTATGCTGATGATTTAGTTTTACTCTCTGACACAGCAGATGGTTTGCAAGCTCAGCTGACTGAAATCGATCGTGACACAAATAAATTTAAATTGTCTGTAGATGTTGATAAACAAAATTTTGGTTGTTGGTAGGAAAACTAGTAAATCGGTATCATCACACGCATGGAAAATCGGTAAATGTGTGGTAAAATAGCTCTTTTGGTGATCATGTTAAAACAGTTAAAGAAAAGGCTCAGAAATCGTATTACGCACTTTTATCGAGAAGTGGGGATTGGGATGGTTTTAATCCGAGGCTTTATATCTTCTTGTTCGACAAATTGATCATTGCTATTATGAATTATTCGTGTGAGGTTAGGGGCCAAAAGGAGTGGCCAACTCTGAAAAAACTACACTCGCAAGCCTGCAAATATGCTCTTGGGGTCAAATCGTCAACGACCTCCGATGCAATTTACGTGATATTAGGCAGACTTAATATATTAGCTATTAGGCATATTGCCATAATTAAATTTTACTTCAGACTATGTAATTTAAGTCTGGAACGCTTCGCAAAACTCGCTTTCCTTATGTTTCAGATGATGCTTTGACTAGTGCTTAAATCTGGATTTCAGATACCAAGGAACTGATCTCATTCTACAACAATAATGTCTCTGATAGTGTACCTGCTATTAAATCTAAGGTAATGCTTCATATCAAGCATCATGAAAAAATTAAGGCCACATCATTAACGAAAAGAAGCTACGGACCTATGCGCTATTCAAAACCACTTTTACGTTTGAAAAGTATCTTGATATTATTCCAGATTTTAAAACAAGAAGCATGCTTTGCAGATTAAGACTTAGTTCTCACAACTTGCATTTCGCGACTGGCAGATATGGCAACAAGCCTCCCACCCAAGGATGAAAGATTCTGCAGATATTGCGATTCGATCTCCACCCACGCTATTCAAGACGAATTCTTTTTGCAATGGTTTGCCTCCTTTACTCTAAAGAAAGGAATGAAGTGTTGGTGGAAATTGAATTCCCTATATAAAAATCTTAGTCATGAAAACAAGTTTATTTGGATGATGAGTCAAGAAGATAATGATTTGATTCCATTTCTTGCGATAGCAGTAAGGCGAGCACTCCAAAAGCGTGAAATGTAAGGCGAGCTATTGTTTGGGTTTCAACGAATATTAGTTTTTGAAAGATGAAGAGACAAATTGCGGGGGTTTTTTTTGTTTTAGCTAAAAAACCGACCGAGGGAATGCCCAAAAAAGTTGAGGTGCTGAACAAAAAGAAGAGTCGAAGGTCTACTGACAACTTTTTCAAGTACATTCCGCTTACTTTTAAAAGATTCTCCAAGCTTTTATGAACAAAATGAAACGACGATAATTAGCAAAAAGTACAAGTAATGTCGTCAGCAAAATAATTTCGCGCGTTTTTTGAAGATAAACAAAACCAATTCCTTCATATTAATATTTATCATTGCACAGTCAGAAATCATGAAAAAATCGAATCTTTCCATTAGGGGCGACGTGACTCTATATTAAAAAGGAGATAACGTTACCTTCAAAGTTGGAAGGGAAAGAGGTATGTTACTTTCTCACATGATTGCCCTGTGGCCTTCAAGCATGTGCTATTACTGCTCTTCTTTTTAATTTTTTTTGTAATCGGCGGTAAGAGTACCGAAGTGTGACGTCATCAAAAAGCTATTTTTAGAATTTCTCAAATTTGGCCACAAAATCTGAAAGAACGGTATAAAATGCCTCTCAATGTGGAAATTTAGCTAGATTTGTTCCAAATTGGGCAAGATACGGTCAATGAAAGATTTCAAGTTTGCTAACGGATTATTGTTATTCTGGCCTGGTTCATAAAGTTATGAACCAAGACCCAAATTACAGAGGTTTGATGGGGCAAGTGCCTGTACTAATGTGGCCATATCTCAGCCAATTCATATAAGGCCCTCAACTGATTTTGCATATTTAGAGGTATTTTATGTTGCTCTTCTAGGTTCTGGGATCAAAATTCAGAAATTCTAAAAATAGATTTTTATGACGTCATCACTTCGGTACTCCATGCTGCTAGCTATTATAAAGTTGAGATAAATATTGAAGACTCGTTACATTCTCACAAGCAGTCCTTCTTTGAGGGTTAAATAAAATCATTCTAGACAAGATATAGTTTATGGCTTATTCAATGCAGTTCGATATGCAAGACTATCCAATTTGTACCATATTACCTACAAAAAACGGTATTATCATCTACAAAAAGAAAGAGATTTATGCGGGAGAAGATAGTTCATCTATTAGAGAGCTCCTCCTTAGACAAATATATTTAAATACATAATGTCTTGTAATGTTCTATGTTTAAGTTATATGTTGTAATGTTATGTTAATAAATTTTATTCTGTATTGAAATGTATTTAGGCATATTTGTCAATGAAATTGAATTGAATTGAATTGATAGAAAACAGGTGCCATTATAGAAATGATCTATCTCTAGCCTCGATTTGAATAGACTACCTGCCACATCGTTACGCATTGCTAAGAAACAAGCTGGTAACAAGCCCGATGGAGTAGGAAGAATATACTTTCTACAATCAATAGTTTAATCACAAAAGAAAATAAGATTTTTCAAACATGAAAAAATTGAAATCTCAAATGCTTTACCTCAAGATGTCATTTTTTGAGAAAAATGTACATTCCTGTAATAGAGTGATAGGCATAAATACAGGAATGTTGCAATAAATCCTGTAATAGAGTGATAGGCATAAATAAAGGAATATTGCAATAAAAGATTTCAGGAGCATTCAGTTACCGAAATAAGTAAAATAGAATTGCTTTGGTTATTTTCTTTATTCCTCAAACTGTCATTCAATAAAAATAGTGGAAGACGTATGCAAGATGGCGGTTGCAAGAGGAGAAGGAAAACGTGTTTCTACGTTTATGCAGCCAAGCATTTTTGACACTCACTGCACGGATAAATTGTGTGACGATTAATGATTCCAAAGCTTGATACTTTTAATCGTTTAAGGAGGTAAAATGAATCCTACTTGTTGGTTTCTTTGGCTGAAAATTGGGCGCAATGCTAGTGATTTGACTGGCAGAAGCAAGCAATTTGTCCTCATTTTGACCTATTCATTCCTCATTAGGCCTACATGAAGAATTTTTTCTTTATTCTAAATTTCATACTTATATATAGATGCTCAAGCAGACAAATATTTTCTTCACAAGAACTCGATTTGTTAGGCATCGAAAAAATTCCAGCAAATACTAGTTCGTATATAAAAAGTTTCTTCCAAAATTGTTTGGTTTCTATAACCAACAAAGTCACAAGTAAAAAAATCGAAGATTCATAATCATCCTCAAATGTAGCAAGTAGCATGAAAGCAATTCACAGATTAATACCTTATGGTAGTATTCAAGCTTTTCGTCTGAGAAATGCGTCTGAGAATTCCCCATTATCAAATCACTTCACGTCTTGCATTCTCTTTCCACCATCTTGTCTCATTAAATATTGACAATTTTATGTTTAATGGCAGTAAATCAATTGTATTTATAGAAACATCCTCCTTCCAAGCACTCTTTCAATTGCAAAACCCTCAATTCCCTGTTCCCGAGGCCGTAGGTAGAAACATTTTTGGTAGCGAGAAAGGCGGGTGTTGTCAGAACGTTATAGAGGGAGGTCTTTAGCAAAAAAATGTTCAAATATAGTGAATTTTAAAGCATCACATAAAGTTTGTACAGTGCAATCGGCACAAGTCTCTGTCAGTTTTTGTCTTTTGTGATTGAAAAGAATAAACAGACCTTCAAATCTTATTTATCTGCATATCAAGACAAACACACGATTCACTCGTTACCTGAGGTAACACATAGTTACTGCAGAAGGGTGGAGAAATGTATTAATTTTGATGCTTCGAGTTTGCTTGAAAATGTAATCTGCGAAACAACCTTTCTCTTTCGATGAATTTTTACAGGCGGAAAGCTTTGAAGGTTTTATTCAATTTTTTGTTTTATTCCTTTGCTTTTGCAGCATATTTGGATAGATATTCTTCAGTTTGGGACAAAATCTCTCAGATCGGGTGGTTGGAAGAAATTCCTAATATTGGACCATTCGGGTAGGTTGGAAGCTATGAATGAAAAATAAGTCGAATAATTGAAATTGAATCACGTCTTAGGCCAGCATTACCATTAATTACAGTGCATTCGAGGGTTTCGGAAAGAGCTTGGTAACGTAATGCTGGAGTTGTTTCTAGCCTAAAGCTTGGTCTGGTAGGACATAACTTATAACTTTGGTACAAAAGTTTTTGTGCAGACCTGGACATGAACATTTGAACATTGCCTCAAAGACCTCCTCAACCGTATCATCAGTATTGTCATATTTTTTCTCTTTTTCTGTTGACAGACTTGGCAATTTCATCCTCTCTAATTGTTGTAATGTCTTTCAATTTTCCCAGAAACCTTATTTTTTTCCCAATGAAATCATAGGCCAAAACCTCAAGGAAATGGAATCAATTGTTAATCATGAGCTGACTAAAGTATCATATGGCTAAAGTATATAAAGCATGACTAAAGTATAAAGTATCACTATACGGAGTAATCATAGACTCTCATCTAAATTGGAGAGGACATAAAAAAAGTTAAATTAAAATTATGTAAAAGCATTTAACTACTCTCAAAACTATGAAATTACATAGCACAAAACATTCTCAAAACTTATATAACGCACTAATCATACCCAATGTTAATTATGGGCTTACGTGCTGGGGCTTAAGTGCCTACTCCTCAAATCTAGAACCTATTGGTATCACCTTACGCAAAGCAGTAAGGGCAATTAAGTTTGCAAAAAGCTATCATTCCAAGCCAATCTTTGAAAAACTTAATTTAAGTGATTTTGATAATGCATATAAATGTGAGCTAGGAAAATTCATGTTCGGCGTTAATACGAAAAGTTTTTCTTCTCTGTTCAGTAGTCTCTTCAAAAAACTGGCGATGCACATATAGATACATGGATGCACACAACCACTAAATTCGTCAATCCTCTTTGGGTTTGTTCTCCCTTTTTTTGGAGCTACAGACTATCGTCTAAAATTTATTTCTTATCGGGGTGTTAAATTTTTTATTTCTCTTCCTCTTGAATTGCGTAATGCAAGAAAGAAACAAGCGTTGAATAAGAACCTAAAGAAATATATCTCAAAAAAAGATCATAGGCCTTTAAATTGCATTGTATGATCAACTTTTGAATTGCACTCCCCTATTCTTTCTCTCTCTCTCTATTTCTTTTCAGTTCATTTCCTTTCTTGAACTTTACTTCATTTTTACTTTCTTTACGTTTTTTCCTTTCTTTTATCTATTCTTGCTGTGATTGTTATTGATTCAACTTCATATAGGAGTTCATCTTTAAATATGCACTATGTAACTTTCAGAATCACAAAAGGGCACATAGCTCGAAAGCTCTTCGAGTTATTTCTACGTGTCCTTCAGTGTTCATTTTTTCTTACTGACAATTTCATGTAAAATATGCTTTTAATCTTTTAATCGTTTATGTTAGTATTATCCTATCACTTTTAATAATTTAAAATTTACTGATAATAGAATGATGTAGGTTGAAGTTGAGGTTGAAGCCTAAAGGTATCTTGTAATATTTACTTTTCTTCCTAACAAAGTTTTTGGTTAAACATTTTTGCTAACATGTTAGATGCGGACCAAAGCAATTCTAGCGTATGGTGCTGTATTAAAAAGACTCACAATTAACATTGTTGCAAATTGTTTATGAAAAATATTTTGTTGTCTTTGCGTAAGTGTTAAAAAGTGCTTTCGGAAGAGAGAAAAAACCATAGAGATTTCTCCATGAGAAAAACAAAAGAAGGTATAAGCCAATCAGAGCGTGCCAACATCAACCTCGTTCTTACAAAGACCAACGTGTGCCTTCGTCACCCTCTCTCTCTTCACTGAATGATACCGAAGTAAAGGGGCATCAAAATGTTGCTTTGTTACGGGTCATTCGTTTTCTTCTTAGCTGTAGCTTCGGCAAGTGATGTACTTGAGTACACAGACTCGAATTTTGATTCCGAAATTAAAGATAAAGAAATCGCACTCGTGGAGTTCTTTGCACCATGGTACGTGGTACTTTAATTTAGGCCCAATAACAAGGCCCCCTTGTCAGAAATCAGATTGTTTAACTATAGAACTTGACGGGAGATTGGTTTGTTGGGCAAATTTTACTCTTGTTTCATTTAGAAATTTTTTTAGTATCTGATTGTTTTTGAGCATTGCAGGGTAAAAAAATATTATCAACGCGAGAAACAGTTTCCCTATTACCCATCACTTACATTTGTTTGTAATTTGTCACTCCTTTGTCCGTATGGTATATTGTTAATATGTTTCTTACTGCCGCTATGTTGTTGGAAACGTCATAAGCAGGGTCGATGGGTTGTAAATATGCTGAACAAACTTTGGACTGGTTTGTGTGCCTAATTGAGCATTGAGTTGACGAGAGGTACTTTAATTTTAGTTGAGCCTCGATTTCTCAAAACTGGTGATATTTAGCCTAAATTTCTTGAATCATTCTAAAGCTAAAATCTTTGCTGCTGTCTTCATCCAAAAAACATTGCAGGTAATGAAATATTATAGCATGTGGCTGTACCTTGATATAATATACAAAGTTTTTCAGCTGCAGCAGTTATTAATTATTATATATACTTGTTTTTGATTTCACCAACAAGGTGTGGACACTGCAAAAGATTAGCCCCAGAATATGAAACTGCTGCAACCAAACTTAAGAAGAATGATCCACCAGTTCCTCTTATTAAGGTGAGTTTAAAGGTTAATCCTTGCAAGACTTTCAGATCAACAATTGTTGCTGACTTTAGATATTTATGTTGTTAAAAGCCAGTAACTGGTATAGGTTCAATGTTATCGACAAAAAGTTGACACAGCAACCAAATGTTTTCTACTTGCATTTTATGCTAATACTAGTATTCTGACAAAACATACTAGTTTTATGATGGCCAAAGGTGAATGGTGATTTTTGTATTGTTGTAAAGAAAGAGGATAATTTTAGAAGATTTTGGCTCCTTGTTTTTAGCAGATTGTTATGATCAACCTATGTAACCTGCTGCAAATATTTGTAAGACTCAATAAAATCCATGTAAATAAGTTTCATAATTTGCCTTTTGCATCTGTTTTTAGGTTGATTGTACTGAGGGAGGCAAAGAAACCTGTGGAAAGCATGGAGTTAGTGGGTATCCAACTCTAAAAATTTTCAAAAATGGGAAGATGACACAGGACTATGAAGGTCCAAGGCAAGCCGGTAATATTGATGCTTTTATCATTTTTAAATAAAAAAATTGTTGGCCTTTTAGACAATTTTTGCTGGAATATATACTTAAGTTTCAAATCTCATTCAGCAGAATAACTTTTTCAGTTGGACTTCCTAATATATCAATTGACTTTTGAGAATGAAATAATAAGAGCAGAGAACTCAATTTGATAGATGTGTGAGTACTATTAGAGTCATCAATTAGATATATTCAGGTATATATGTTTATACCACTGGATTTATGACCTTCTGCAACCAGATTTCCACATCACATTACCTGTTTTACTTTGCAATTTGGGCCTGACTTTGTTTTATTATTTATTAGAGAAATCATTTTAGGGACTGTTTGCAAAAAGTTCTAATTTTTGTTTCAAGTGCCTCCTTAATGTCAGCAGGAGTTGAAAAAGAAACATTTAAACTTGACAAATATATTAAATGACAATAGAAAAAGTCAGTAAAAAAACAACTGTGTGCTGTTAACAACAGATACTCTGTCAGTCTGTAAGCCAAAGACATTCTTTAAAAGGCAACTTGACCACTCATTGTAATAAAGTAAGAATGCCCTTTTGAATTTCCAAAGCTCTAACAGGAAGATTAAGCTAATTCTTAAAAGGATTAAAACATTTTATCAATGTATATATTGAAATACAATGTTTTTGACTTTTATATCAAGTTTTCAAGAATAATTCCCACCGATTTATAGATCTTTTTTTGAATGACTCACTACCTGGATTTTAATCAAGGCATTCATTTGAATTCCTTTTGCTCAAAACAATGCCAAGTCATCTTCAGTGCACAGGGCACTTAGGATTCGTTTCAAGTCTAAACTCCTCTCAGAACTAGATCATTTGAAAATATTTTTCTGGTCTGTGGCTATCCAGAAAAAGCTGTTTGATCATATTATTGCGAACAAGTAAAGGGAAGGTTTTTTGGCTGACAAGAGATGTGGTCCACTATAAGTGCCCATTTTATTCTAAACTATCAAGATATGTAAGATTTCCTTATGATTTGAAGGTCAGATTTAAATTTGCTAACATTATGTCAACATTTTAAACTCTCAGGAGTCTCAGAAGAGAATTTTCAAACTTTTAAATCTAGTAGGTTATTGGGCAAGACCTTGGATTGCTGTTGTAGATGAGGGTGGCCATAATAACATTGAGCAACAATGCTGAACATGGTTTTGTTATTATAATGTCCCAATTTTATTTTTAGATGGTATTGTTGGATACATGAAAAAACATTCAGGACCTGCTTCTAAAGAATACAAAGACTTAGACAAGCTGCAGAATCGTTTAGCAGATGCAGAGGACAACCTCATTGTTGGTAAGGGTCAACCCTTTTTGCATCCAAATTTCTGTTGATCAAATTGCAGATATTTTTGAACAATAAGTAATGCACCTATCATTTTATTGCCCTGACCTCCCACCCCAGGATAGGCAGGTTAATGTGGGGTCATTCACGTTTTTCTTATGGGAAAGTGAGCAATGCCTCCCACCCCCTGGGGCAATATTTTTTGCGAATGGGAGGCAATAGCTCGCGTTTGAACCCGCTCAAAGCCCCAGTATGTTATGCAAAGACAGATAGAAATCATAGTGTTTGCTGTAAAGAATAACTAAAAACTATAAGGATGCCATGTGTTAGAAATTTCACGTTGAATCCAAGTCTTCTTTCTCAACATGTAACTGCGAACAGAGAATGACAAACAACATAAAAAACTAGATTAATTTTGTATAACAGAAAATTCAGTTTTCCCAAACTGCTTTCCCCACATCTCACCAGTGCCTAAAATCACAAGTGTTGTCCTTTTTCCAATATCAAGCAATTTCTCCCAATCATCCACTTCTGTGCCATGTTCTTTGAAACAAATCCGCAAATTTCCTGTGTTTTGAGGTTCAAACCCTAACTTCATTGCAGCTATAGATGAAAATTTTAAAAATAAACCAACTAGTCATTAAATGAGGACCAAAGCAACATGTTTGTATATCATTTATTGGTCATATCAATTAATGAATAAAATTCCAAAATGATAATCCCATCAGACTCATAGACTTACAGTACCTCTTCATTCCCTGAGTTCAAATTTTTCAAAACTTTGTAGAAAAGATTTGAAAGCTTACAAAAATACAAATATCTGCCAAGGTACAAAGATCTATGCACTTAGTTAAAAGAATTGCAAGCACGATAGCATTATAACACCTGGAATGCTGTACATGTTCTTATAAAGGTAAATACCCTAGGACGCAGACTGGATTCTTTGGCAATTGCAGTCTAGAGGAAAATTTTGAAAAAATGAAAGTCCATCTTACCTATCTAATAGTGGGCATGCCATGAAATCCAGACTGGCCAAGGCCTAAGCTGGATTGGTTTCTACGGCAATTGCACTCCAAGGAAGATTTTTTAAAAACGAAACTGCTCTCTCACACATCTGAATCTTTAGAAAAAAGCCTTTTTCCTTTTGTTCAACCAATGTTTAAGCCTTCACAATATTCTTCTTTGTTCTGGAATGATCCCAAATGTGAAAAGTGCACAAAGACACCTTTTTTCATTGAAAAAACGCTACTGCACATGCACAGATGTGAGCTTTGGAACAAGCGAATTGACCTGGGTGTCCCCGCTCTCCAGGGACAAAAATTTCCAGGCAAATGGCCCTACATGGGTCAAGAGGCAAATGGCCCTACATGGGCTGCGCCTATCCCTGGACAGGGGATCAGGGCAATGAAGTGATAGCTACATTAGCATTAACCATATCTTCTTTACTCATATCATCTTTATAGCTGTTAAGATCATTTCTTCTTTAAGCCTTAAATCATTGATGAACAAACAAGTTCTCAAAGCATTTTACATGTGTTATACCCAGAGGTGGCTGGGATTAGAAAAGTATTAGTATTAGCCTCTGAAATTAAGATATAAGAAGGATACGTTCTAATCAAGGAAGGTGGGAAAAATGACCTTTTTGATTTGATGGTTTAAAATAGCTTTTGGCAATACCATATCTTTTCAGGGCACTGGCCCACATTGTCTCGACCCCCCCTCAGAAACTGATGACCCTTTGGTAATGTATTTCATCCAACTAGTTTTGGGTGACGGAAGGATGGGAAATTAAAAATTGTTTTTGGTCCAGTAGTTTGCCTTGGATTATGGCTAGGGCAAACTACTGGACCAAAATTGTAATTTGATTAAGCAGTTCTTTGAAAATAGACTAATACCTTTAATCCCAACCCAAGCAGCCCCTGGTTACACCAGTTTTGTAAGCCAAAAATGTATAATGAAAAGACTGATTTCTCACTTAATTTAGGTAGTCCTATAAAGTTACTGATTTCCTGAAGAGATAATGGTATTTGTATTTGTTTCTACCTAGCATCTAAAGGTAGTGTTTAGGACACTGAGAAGCTTATGCTTATTGAGCAGTTTCCTGGTCCTTCCTCTCAATGTGAACACACTTTGTGATTCCTATGCCTGGAATTACAGAGAGCTAGCGACTTACCTCACTCTGGGTGAAAGTTTGGTCATGCCAGGGACTTGAACCAGAGACCCTTGGGTCTGTAGTCATATCCTCTAACAACTGAGCCATCCTCGCCTAGTATATTAAGGTATTTTTGTTTTGTTTAAAGGTTTCTTTTCTGAAGAGGATAACACAATGCACAAAAGGTTTGCCAAAGCTGCAGACAACAAGAGGAACGATTTTGATTTTGCGCACACCTTTGCACCAGAGATCCTGAAGCACTACAATTATGAAAATGCAATTGTCATATTTAGGCCATCTCATTTGCATGCCAAATTTGAAGACCCTTTTGTTGCCATCACGGATCCAGAGGAAAGTGTGTTAAATATTGAAAGATTCATTGATGATAACCAGTAAGTGAAAATTTTTATCCTTGACACAATGTTTTATTTTCAATGTAAGATAAACTATTTTAAGAGAGACATTCATTCTTGTTTGAGTCAAGAATGTATGTTAGTGTACTAACAACCTTTGTTCTTCAGTACAGATTATTTCTTTGAGTAAATATTCACAAAAACTGCTTCCTAGGTTTGGAATGGTTGGTCAGGTGAGAGGAAATAATGAAGCAAAATTCATGAAACCAGTTATTATTGCCTACTACAACGTTGACTGGAGGAGAAATAAAAAAGGAACCCAGTACTGGAGAAACAGAGTTGCAAGGATTGCAAAGAAATTCAAGGGGAAACCAATTTCCTTTGCTATTGCAAACAAAGGGGAATACACCAGGCAGATTGATGACTGGAAATTAGACCAAACCCAAGATGTTCTGGTGGCAGCGAAAAATGCACAAGGGGAAGTTTTCTTATTGAAAGATGAGCCATTTAGGTATTTTTCTAATTTTGTATAGTTATATATAGTTGTTTTTTATTTTCGTTTTATAGGCTTCATTTTATTCAGGAACCACTATATTTGCATACTATGATTGCATAGTTTTCTCGTCATGCATTAACCATTGCTCTATTTTTAACACCACATCCTAATATTGTTGCTTGTTACATTTACACCATTGTTAGGGTAATTGGCCTACATCATTATGTGGCTTGCTATGCTTCATGCTTTTTCAAATATAGATCAAGTTTGAAAAATTCTTTAGTTTCTCAGCACTAGCATTCTGCAGTTTATTGACATTGCTGATTTTAAGATTTGTTTTGTTGGATTCTGTAAACAATAACATGAAATAGTCCAAATTTTCATAGGACTTGAGTCTAGCAATGTTTAGTCTATTTTTCTAGAATTTCTCTGAAATATGATAGACCATAAGGTATAGCAGGGAAAAATTGAAGATTTGGCTGTCTCAATCTTTCAATAACCTACAAGATGAAATGATCATAGTTTTACAAAATTTTATACACTTTCTTTTAGTGTAGCAAATTTGGAAAAATTTGTCAATGACTTTGTTGATGGTAAATTGAAACCATACATAAAATCAGAGCCAATTCCAGAAAATAATGATGGTCCTGTGAAGGTAATTTTTCAATACTTTTGATCTTTTTGCGATTACCGTGAGTTTATTGCTACAAATATGTTTACAAGAAAGTAGTAGCAATGCAGGTTTTAGCTATATAAAGTGTTGAATACAACTTTTGTTTTGCATGTAACATGTAATACTTAACATGGACTAATCACTTCCAGTATACTGCAAGAGAACATTGAAAAAATTCCCTAATTATATTTCACTGATTAAATCTTATTAGATAGGGCTGAAAGTGTTTCCAATAACACTATCATGCTATTTCCATGTGTTAGGTTGTCGTCGGTGAGACTTTCAAGGATATTGTGCTTGATGAAACTAAAGATGTTTTGATTGAGATGTATGCACCATGGTGTGGACATTGTAAAAGTTTGGAGCCAAAATACAACGAGCTTGGTGAAAAGGTAGGCCTATTTAATCAAGAATTGTTTATTCATGAAAATTTTATAGTTGCATTTATTTGTTCCCTTCATATTTCTTTGGACTAACTTTGTTGTCTTTGAGCTACTCACTAAGAGTCCTACTCTTTTTTATCACAATAATATCATCATACAAGGTGCAGGAATTTGTTATTTAGTGTCTGTTAGTTTGTTTTTATAAAAATGTCTATTTACTTGCTCTCAAAAGTAAAAGAACTTAGGGTTTAATAGGCCTTTCAAAGGAAACTTTGTTTTTTAAAAATTTTGAAATGAATTGTTCTTATATTGATTAATTGTGCCTATTTTGAATTTTGTAAAGATGAAGGATGTAAAGGACATCGTGATCGCCAAGATGGATGCAACTGCCAACAGCAGCCCTCCTAATTTCTCAGTAGGCGGGTAAGTCGCATTTTGACATTCAATAATCATTATAATCTGCATTAAACTCTCACTGTTATGACAAAAACTTTTAATTTTATTGCTTTTTTACTTTTATCTAATGAAATGTAAATTTCATCTGACACGGTCCGAAATTTGTATCCGGACCCGGATTCAAAATTCACGTGAAAAAAGAATGGCGAATTTGATTAGTTGCTGGTATTTGACCAATCAGCGATGGCCAACCTCTCACAATCATTGTGCCAGATTGGTTTATTTTCTGCGCCCAATTTTTTAAGTTATTGATAAAGTTCTTTGTGACTTTTTTAACAACATTTTGTTTAACCAAGAAAAAGTTGCTATTGTCTCTACCTTCAGTTCCTAGTAGATTTCCCATCCTCTGATTTTATTCAAATTTGCAGCTTCCCGACTATCTTCTGGGCTCCCATGGGAAAGAAGGCAAACCCTCAAAAGTACCAAGGTGGCCGCGAAGTCTCTGATTTTATCGACTTTTTGAAACGTGAATCGACCAACCCCTTTGAGATTACCGAGAAAAAGAAGAAGAAGAAGAAGGATTCTAAGGAGGAGCTTTAGATTTGTGAAGAAGTAGACAGATTTGAAATCAGACTTGTAGTAAAGTTATGTATTTGCTAGAAAATTATCAGTTTGAAAACACTATGAAATGACCTCGAGATTCCCCATGTACCAAGTATCAGGGATCGCTGTCGGCAACATTGTGTTAAGCTTGGTTGTATTTCACAGGTAATGTAAATTTCGGTGGAAGATTCGTAATATTGCCGACATTGGCATTATCCTTGTCATTATTCTTATTATTCTTGGCATTATTATTTTCCATTTCTAAACTTTCTTTACTAAGCCAAATCATGGTTCAATTGTGAATGCCACTAACAACGAGGTGTTGCAAACTACAAATCCTTAGGGAATATTTTTCTAATGTCAATCTTTGATAAAGAGTATCACCGATAAAGCGAAGAAAGCAGTCGCAGCTATGAATTGCAGTTATCTGTTGTATTTTGTCAATTGACATACAATGAAGAATTCTTACTCTTTGCAGTCTTTTATATCGTGTTCAACGTCTCTTTACATTTGCACTTTCTGATCCACTCTGGCCTCACCACTGGGTGAACGCACTTCTGAGCATGCGAAGGCACAACCCATCCTTTGCTTTAAATGCGAGACCAGTCTCTGAGAAGCTCAGCCCAGTTTGCCGTTTTGTCGAAAGTAGGCCTAATTTATTTAGACATTTTATATGTAAGATGATGATAAAATGGACTAGGTTTGGCTCTGAGTATACGGTATAGTAGCAAGGAAGGTACTGGTTGAAAGCTTTGTTTCTGTAGGTCATGAATCTTCAATGAAAACGGTTGATATCCTAGAAATCTTCGTCTCTAAACATGGCACTAGTGTCTCATTCTGCGTTCTACAGTGCCTGAATAATTGCATTCGACTTTTGGTAAAATATGTAGAATGGGCCCGTGATACTAAGAAAGTATAAGCAGCGGGCTAGAAGCGGCATGCTAACTTTTAGTTTGACACCACTGAAAGATTTTTACTCGACTCATTTAAGCACCATGTAAGATCCGTTAGAGGCAAGACGACAGAGAAAACATAATGATATTCTCATAGATGTTTTTTGATAACGGAGAAAACAATGACAGTGAACAATGCTAAATGTAATTGATTATAGCAAATCATTGCTAATTCTTAGTTTTGTGCCTGCGAACTGCATACACAGATAGTGAACCTTTCTTTCCAGTACATGGACAGTTTGTTTTACGCCTGCATCTCTTGATTGACGTATTGATGCAGCCTGTTGATGGACCCCCTTTGCTGAAGTTAGAATGTGCGTATGGACCACTCCAACATTCGCCGTAGTTTCCAATTCCAAATGCCCGATATCCCAGCTTCAAGGCTCGCTTTGCACATCTGCATATGAATCTTGTGAAAAGAAGAGAAACAGATTTTAATTTTTTTGATTAATTATAGAAACAGTTTGAAGATAGTTGACGGTGCTTAGATTTTAATCAATAACCTCAATTTCAAATATCAAAGGTATAATCGTGCGTGGTTCGATGTGGCCGATGGGCCATAAACCGGCACTACTCTTATTAAAGTGGCCTGTTTCTTGGTAGCTGAACTGGCGTCAATGCTGGATCTAACGATCCAATCCCCGTGGCCGTATGTAGGACTAAAAGCAGTAGCCGTCAATGGGTAGGCGAGCTCTTGGTGAATTTCTTGTAATAATAAAAATTTCAATTATTTAGAGGAGGTAGCCCTCTTGGTAAAATTCTTTAACGGTAAATATTTATACAATTGTTGCAATATTAATAGAATTAATTCAATGATTTATAAGTAAAATGTTCAAAAGGCCGTTCCAAGAACTTGTACCCCTTTAAGAGAAACCCTTTTGGAGAAACCCTTTTGGCCAGTGATTGTTCATTTCTAGGGGTATATTTAGATTCTCTCGTAGGTTCCTTAGGACCCTTTCCGGACTTCCTCTAATTTAAAGATTTTGCAAATGGTTAGGTGCAAGGGCCTTTAGGGATATGCAGACCTTAAGTTTTGTGCCTGTATATATTCTGGTCAATGTAAATGCCAAGATACTTGATAGAAATTTTAAAATCCAAATGGCTGAGCGGAGACTTTTGTTTTTAATAGTTCGCAATTATCATGGAATGTGTGTGTTAAAGATAGTGTACTCCCCGAAGACACACTTATATACAGCCTCGATTAGATGCGCCAAGCTTTTAGTGTGCATGGCAAGACTTGTATCATCGGCAAGCATGGTAACATTTTCAACAGCTTGTGATAAATCATTTATATAATCCAGGAAGAGCAGAGAGCCGAGGTGGTACTCTTATATCGATTTTTTCAACTTCAGAGTCTTATACCATTTATCCATCGAAAATTGCTTTTTATTTGCAAGGTAGGACCAAACTTTTCACGCCGTTATGCGCAAGATTCTTACAAACGATTTACTGTGTCATTTTTATCACAGTGTTTAAAGTTGCGCCTAAACCAGTAACTATGGTGATATTCCGGATAATATATCACTGCAGTAACAAATTTTTGTCAAACTTTAAAAACGTAGTAACTCGTGTCTAAACAGTCCGATTGATATATGAAGCCTCCGGTATAGTCTTATTTCAACACGAAGATTTGAAATCTGAGGTCCCTGCTTGAACCATCTGGACGGGATGATTAAGCATTAATTATACCTACACCTACTCTGTAAGTCAAGCTGATTAAGAAAATACGAAAGAGACAAAAATAGGGGGAACATAAGTGAGGCGTTTATGTACCGGAAAGAAAGAGGATTCTAGAATCCACCATTATAGAGAATGGAGATATGGAGGGGAATAAACTAGATGGAATGATAGGACGAACCTTGGTCAAAAATGTCGGTGAGTGTTTCCAAAAGAGTCATTTCACTTATATGAATTCAATTCTTTAGCCTCAATTGTCATACCCTCGATTATTTTTAAAATAGCTGTTTTTATAATATTGTGAAAACCCAAGATGGTGTCTTCTTCGAATGTCCTGACCTAAATTTTCAAAACAATCATTATCAAGGAACTAATTGTTTGCGGGCAGTACTAGCAAGAGCTATTTCTAGTTTTTAATATTTTTTCGATCAATGGCATGCCTTGTCGAAAATTGTTACTCCAATCACTGGGATATAGATTATCCCCCTACCAACTGCCCCTCTTTAAAGTTTACTCTGGATCCGCCCCTGGTTCTGTTGTAAAATATTGTCGCCTGCTTAAATCTTTTCACCGTCTCCTTTCTAAGTAGAATTACGTACAACTCTCCTTCCCCTCTTCCGCAACCACTCCTTCTTTGCCACCGCAGTTGTCTATCGTATTTATTCCCGGTTTCTCGAGTCTCCGATACCAAACTTTTCGCAGCGCAAATCTCGATATTGCCTTTTTACAACTTTCCTTTATTGTCATCAAAGTGAACGATGAGCTAATTAACTTATTCGTTTTTATAATACGTTAGAAATATTTCACCAGAATCGGATTTGTGCTGAGTCCCTGCATAGAACAATTCAGAATACTAACCGCTCTCCGAATGCTTTTTCCTGCTTTTAGCAGACTTAAAGTCTTAACGTTCTAATTCATCATTGAGACTACTTTATTGTTGAAAATAATGAGATGAATTTCAGACCTTACAAGCACTCCGAGAAAGGGTTATTCGGTCTTCGCTTGTACATGGCTTTCTATGGGATATTGTCAACAGTTTTTCAAATTATACTCACACTGACAATGCTTTTTTGAAGTTAGTACGTCTGACGACGAAACCAGAAAAGAATCTGCTCGATTTTGACCTCATGGTTTCCAGCAATCTTGGCATGGTCCTTCTATGTCGTCTGCTCCTATCGCGGAAACAGGCTCTGTATCTCAGACTTATTCCTTTGCACAGTCCTCCTAAAAGAAAACATGGTCGAAAATCAAGAGTTTATATACGACGCAGGAATTTTTGTTGGGGATACGAGTATAAATTCCTGCTGTCTAGGACTACATTTCTAGCCATCCTATCTATGAGGTGAGCTGAGTTGTCTGAACCAATGAGAAAGTACTTCATATGGGCATGCGCATTAGGCAAATTTTACACCTCATGACGCCTCGCAGCATTAAAGCAAAACTGTTTTATATCATAGTTACAATTAGATCAGAATTTGATTCCAGGGTTGCCAAATGATTGGAATGGTTGGCGGTCAAATACTTTAAGGTTGACGGCCAAATACTTTACGGTTGACGGCCAAAAAAGGCCAGCCAAAAATATTTACAAAAAAGCTACATTTTTGCTAATCCTGTGAAGTAATTGTGTAATCAAAATTTGCTTTGTTTGTTACAAAAGCTCCCACTTGCTTTCAATTTAAATTTTCTACTATCTTTTACTTTGTTTCTGCTTCATTATTTGCAATTTTGAGAGCATTTTAACAAAAAGTTGAAAATAGTCTGTACTAAAGTTGCCGTTTTCTTTGTATTTTTGTGGCTTTCGACATGCGACCAAAATTCGGCTAACTTTCGCTTTTTCGGCCAAATCAGTTTTCGACGGCTAACAGCTTTGAAAAACGGCCAGAATGGAGGAATTTGGCCGTCAAAACGTCAACCCTCTTTGATTCTTCTCGTGACACCCTTCTCTTTAAATTTTCTTCATCTTTCGATTCGAGACTGGCTTACTCCTATAGCAGCCACGCATGTTCCTACCACAAAATATACTATGCGATGTGAAAATGACGTCATCGATTGTAACAGCGTATGTGCATATGATGCGAAATTGTGAAAGCAAACGGACCTTCACACAAATGCTGGTTCGTCTCCCCAACAATATTGGTAGAAGACGATGGAATGGTGATCTTAGCTGAACTGGAAGATAACTTCATTTTTATTGATATTTTCACTATTTTTCATGTCAGTTCGTCATTATTTTTTGCAATTCTGTATGCAATGATGCCTACCTGCAAACTGAGGTTGCTTTTGCAAATTAAGACTAGATCAACATATTTTGACCAAGATTGAAAAAGACAGCAAATGTCTTGGTTAGCCCTGTCTTGGTTAGCTATATTGACAGTTGTGGTAATGGTATGCTTCATACCATCAGATGCGGTATTAGCTTTTAAAAGCTTCCATACAGTGTATTCTTATAACTTATTCGAAGATCATGTCATGGACATCCTCTTGTTTGTGTGAATAAAGAAAAGGTAACGATAGCAGTCTGCTCCACCGACTCTAAATACTTCTTGTGGCGAAAAATCGATTTCATAAACAAAAGGTTTAATGATTCTTACCATTCTGTTTCTTACAGTAAAGGCATAAAGACACTAACCACAGGAATTTTGCGTTCCACCGTTCGGCTTTGGTTTAGCTGGCGGCGGTGGAGGTTTAATCAATGGCGGTGTAGGCGTAGCTGGTGATTTTGCAGGTTTCGTCGGTGGTGATGGAGGTTTGACTGGCGGTGGTGCAGGTTTAGCTGGTGGTGGTGACGGTTTAGCTGGCGGTTGTGGTGCAGGTTTAGCTGGCGGTGGTGACGGTTTAGCTGGCGGTTGTGGTGCAGGTTTAGCTGGCGGTGGTGACGGTTTAGATGGAGGTGGTGACGGTCTAGATGGAGGTGACGGTTTTGTAGGAGGCTTTAGGGGTTTGGTTACTTCCGAGCAGTTATTAACAAATATTTTCTTTGGTTTACATTTTGTTTTCACATAAACCTTCTTTTCAATAACTTTAGGATTTTTTACTCTACTGGTACATGCGGGGCAATTTTTGGTGAGGTAATAATTGACGCTCTCGTGATAGAATGTCAGCATTTTGGTGAAGCCAACTGTGTCTTTTCTTCGTTGTGCAGCCTCTGTCCAATCGTACTCTTCTTCTTGCTCTGTAAGATTATCAACTTGTGCATCAGTCGGGTCGAGCTTGTTATGCAGCTCCTCGGGGTCTCTTGCACCATTTTCACGCCTGTCCAGCTCTTCAAAGAAGTCTTCAAATGTCAGGCCTGCAAGAAAAAAGTTTCAAATTCAATCCTACTCATGGCGGCGAAGCGGCAAAGGGGAAAAGCGGCGAAGCGGCGAAGGAGAGAAGCATAAACATGATTTGCTACCAGCGCTGACATTAGGAACCTCACTCCAGATGAGAGATTTTCAATTCTTGTGCGTGACGTAAACAACTACAGATATTCAACTGTCGTGGTTTTCCTTAACGAGTTTAGGTTGTTTTTTAATTTAATGGATTTTTTACAAATCTCTAAAAACCGCATTGCTAAGGAAGAAGTGAGGCCGTGATTTAGTAGTGATTTTAGAACCCAATTATCTGAGTAATATCGAAGCTTGCTTCTTGTAGTTCATTTAAATTGTCAAAGCCTTTTGGAGCACTAGTAAAGCTCTTGCCTTGCTTTCATGAGGTACAAATGACAGAACAGTAATCATGATTACAAAGACAGTGATGATGTCAAAATCAATTGTAAAATATGATGTCGCATTATGGTTTTTGAAACGAAGTTTTTGTTTCACGCAGGAAAGACTTGCATTCTGAAGCTCAGCGTTACCAACGCAACGCATAAGTGACCTCATTTGTGGCCGGCTTCAAAAGCAGGCCAAATTTTTGGCCGACCAAATATTCGGCCGACCCCGTGTAAACGCAGCCTAAAGCAATATATACATAAAGAACATCACCTCATTAACACTATACAAGTTCAATTTATGTACCGATTACCTTTAGAATATGTCACCAAAGACGTGAACAGTGCCAAAAGTAAGAGAGTTATGATCCCTTGCTCCATCCCAAACGCGGTCATCGAAAGCTCATCCAGAAGTTTCATAGGGTTTTGCGCTTCAAGGTTGGCTGGTGTCGAAAAGGGTATTAGAATAGATTTATTGTTTGATAAGGTTTACCGTGACAATGCCGATATTCCTGAATATATAACTGAAAACCGACTTTTGCAAAATAAGATCTGGTTGGGGGGCTTTTCAAAGAAGAAAAGAAAAGTGGTGTGTTTCCTGCAATTGCGTGCCGTAGAGCTATGTGATTGATAACACAGGCCTCCAAATGTTTTGGCCATTGAAAATTGTTCTGCTTTTAACATCATTTCTTACATCAGTTTCTTAAGCTGATCTAAAAAATGCAATCAGTTCTTTTGTATCACGTCGAATCTGTTTTTAAAAAGGCTTTTGAGAAATTGAGCAATTGTGTTAAATTTCTGTGCATTTCTGATTTTTCAAGTATGACATAGCTGTTTCTATTTCCTTTGCGAATCGAAGAAAGTCGCTGCAAAAGATGTTTTATGAGCATTTCCGAACAGAATAAAAGCTAGATACATAAGAGTACAGTAGATACATGAAAGAAATATTTTGCAGAGATCTATCAAATATTAAAATATTTCTAATGCTAAATAGAAAGTTATGTTCATCATTTGGCCTAAAAAAGGATCACATCGTCACAAAAATGGAAGAAACTTCTGCTTCTTTGATCTTCTTGAATGATTCAAACAAGGAACATCTCTCTCCAGGCTCCAGCAGAAGTCGGCCATCATGCAGGCGCGGTTTGGCCCGCGTGGCAAAGTGGCGATCGCCACCCGGGCCTTTGCTTCTAAAAGAAAAAGATGATCACGGGGCCTTTTCTTAAAAAGTGTGAGAATATGAATGTTGCTAACTGCTAATAAATTTATTCTCTCTTTACCTAAATATCTACTTAAGTTCCAGAACAAATAATAAAAATCCCTCAAATAATAACAAATATGAATAATAAATTGAGGGTCACTGCATCAAGTCACCAAACACTACAATATCATAGCAAAATGATATGAATAACAACAGTACAGTCGTGACGTAGCCTGTGTTCCAGACTCCTAACGTGAGACCTCTACTTTCAAGTTAGGGGCCTGGAGCACAAACCATGGTGAAGCTGTGCATCACGTTTACTCACGTTATAAGCAGTTCAATTCCGTGCGCTAGACAATTAAGCAATCGTGGGCCTAACATAAATCCCTCTCATACACCGGTCTTGCATCTTATCGTATTTTTTTCTACCTATGCTTTTAGCATATATAGCATTCGAGTATTTGAACTGGAACGATGATAATACAGGAAAACTTTTTGTCTGGAAGTGTTTTCAGTTTACGTATCTTTTTCAAAAAATTTTCTAGGTTATATACACAATATTTTTATTGTCACGTAATCATATCAGTCGACTATTCATAACGCTTCCTGCATATATTTGCAAAGAAGTGTTTCTCTGTATTTCGATCTAACTATTTCCCAACACCTTTCAAATGTTAAGTCTTTTACACCTAAGCTCCACAGTTATGATAATCAAAATGAATAAAGAAGACTGTTCAAAAATTCTGATTTACACAGAATATAGTAATTAGAAGTAAAAAAGACACAGCTTGGACGCTTAACGAATTCACACAAAGTACAAAATGTGCAAAAACTTTATCACAAATACTACCAGCACATCAATTAACTGGTAACTTGCTTTCAAATGTTACTTCTGTGAGTGTGGTCGCTCAACCACACCCTCATCGGTGCGGCTTGAGAGCCACCCTGCAATTATGATACCAGAACGCCTCTACCATCATGTGAATGTCCCAATGTCCTTGGAAACGTTCTTCAATAACCCTTATATCCTAGAAGCGCTCTCCTTGCTCATTGCTTACATCACCAAGGTTTGCAGGAAACTACTGAAGGTGGCTGAATAAGAACATAACTTTTTCGATCTACACAAATAACTCAGTTATGGTGGTCGTATTTCATCAGCGACAAGATCTCCTTTCCACGTATGGGTTTCCACTAGCATACGTTTGTTTGGCAGGAACAGAATGTCCTATTGGATCAGAGGCATATTTAATGCCGTTATGAAACAATACGCACTTGAGGCTTTGTGTAGCGCTAGCGAGCAATGAACACCAATCATTTGGATCGTAGGATTCTACACCAAGCTATTCTAGTGCATCAAAGTATTCCAGCAAAGGACAATTCTTCTTTCTTTCAGAAGACTGGCATACTTCCTTGTCTCTTTCACAACAGTATATGATCCGTGTACCAGAATGGAGAAGATTTAATCTAGAGGCCAGGAGCTCGGCAGATTCTTTAAACAGACCAAGATCTCGAACCAAGTTGTCAAGTTCTGATCATCGTTCTTTAAACAGGCCAGAAAGCACTGTCGACTTCTTGATGAAGTAGAAGTAGCACTAATTTCAGTAATATTCAGATATCTAGTTCTGGCATATCATCGGCTTCTGATGTGGACGATTCTGAATCATTTCAATTTTGGAATTAAGCAAATACGGGACAGGAATTTCATTCGAATGTGATACTGGCAAGATGGCTGAATTTAGATTAGGGTATTGGATTCTGTGTGTGCTTTTTCTGCTGAATCCCAGGGCCTAAGTAATGCAGAATAACTGTCATTTACATGTTTTTAGGTTCTTTCCAAACCATTGCAATCCCAAAGTCCATAGCTTTTTTGCCATGTGTCCGCTGATGAAGAATTCTCAATTTATCAAAGGCAATTAGCAGACTATTTTAAACATATCCTCTTCACAACATGTTAGCAGATTAATCAAATTTATATATCTTGTAAGGCAAGCAATTTTGGAAGAGCAAGTGAAATTAGGGATATGCCGTTTGTGAAATTAACCAAAGTCATTTCTAATCTTGTTTACCCAAAATCTTTGCAGTATCTTTTAGGTGTTTAAAGAGAGATTTATTTAAAGTTTGCACTGAAGTCAGTGCTTTGAAATTAATGAAATCGCTCATTTTACTAACAGAATAACTTCACTATAAAACAGAACCCTGGCGTGTGACCAAATAATCCGATATCATTTCTGAAATCAGCGCAGAAAACTGATGCGGAAAGTGATGTTGAATGCAAAACAATGTTCAATGGCCAAAAAATTGTAGGACTGTGTAATTATAAGGCAACAGTCGACATTATTGAAAGCATGCAAGTAACGAACGCTAAAAGTCCGTGAAGCGGGAACGAAATTGATCTCATATCTTGAATATTGAAATGCCATGAACAAAAGTACAGTTCAAGCAAATATCTTAATTTAATGTGATTAGAAAAGTAGTTCTTTATACTCCATTGAGATAGGAGTTGAGTTAAGATACAATGTAGAGTGTGGATACAATCCCTTTCTTTGTACCAAAACTGGCATTTAAATATTGTTGGGTTTTGTTTCCTTGAGCAAACTGATTCTCTGTAAGAGCATGACTACAAGGCTGAATTTAAGCATTTTGTCGTGTATAGAAGCACAAAAAGAGGCCATTTAGGTCACTCATATTGTCGTGTAATATGAACATCAACCATTTTTGGCGTTATTTCTCCTTGCTTGACACTCAACAAACATCAACAAAGACATGGACCATTGCGAGGCAGCAATATAGAAGGCAGGTGACCATGACACTCTGGTGAATTCCACGTCTCCTCTTTGGCTCAGTGAGAGATAACAAAATAAAATATGTATTTAAAGAATATCTAAGTTTTGAAGACAGTTTTGAACTTTTTTGCTATCTTTCAATTGGTAAATTATTAGTTCTGCAAAATATTTTTGTGACGTTATTCTTAACTTTGCAATGATACTTCTTAAAATTGTTATTTTTAGCCAGTTCATAAACAACCTTAACAAATTTGAAAAACTGTTATGTTATCATAATTGCTTTTATCGTGGCAAACCCAATATCACCACTATACGTCCGAAATCTCATGGCAACCAAAAATATGAAAAATGGAAGTTGAATTCAGTCACAGATTTTACGAATCCCTGTGAGATAGGAGGGTGCAGAAAGTCTTTATCAATCGTTTCTGTCCACTGCCATGACCTTATCTTCTTCGATTAAATTACTATCTTCAGAATTTATCTGTGGAGTGTCGTTCTCCAGGAATTTTCTACCTATGAATGGTCCTTGTCCTCTTCATCGTCTACGGCGTGGCTGCTATTCCAGCGAAACTCACAGGTGATCTATTCAATCAATACGTTTTATGACATTGTCGATTCTCTTTCAATTTAAATTCTTTACCGGCCAAACATTAGACCGCAAAATCCAAAGTTTCTTCAAAAATAAATAGTCTCGCCACTATAGAAAAAAACCTTCAAAACAACATAATAAATCTTTATTTTTCATGACTTGTTTCTTTGGAGTGAGATATTGTGATAGCATTTTTTAAACGTTGATTTTCATCTGACATGAATTCTTTCCACCTTGTTGATTTCTAGCAAAGTTATTCTGAACAATAATTATTTGTTTGTAAAGAAATAAAGCTACGACATTTTACGAGACACAATATTATTAATCGAAAATTGAAAATTGACAAAATAAATTTGGCTTTGACCAATATAATTTTTGATGGTAAAGTGATATAAATGAAGATGAAACTAGTTTTGGAGCTTAATTCACAAGGACACGACCAAAATAATTCTTGATGACAGAAATTTTTTTTGCAATCCCAAAATCTTTAATTTTTGAAAACAGAAGACGTTTAACGAAGAATTAATTTTCAATACATACGTTTGTTACTAAAAAGTGAGATAGTTTAAAACAATTTCAAAGTTGATTTAGTGTAAAAACAACCCCTGTAGTGCTGCCAATTTTAAAATAATGGGCGTCATTGCTTGTAGAGTTGATTAAGTGTTGAAAACGTTTGAACAAAAATGCTTCTCGATGGCAAGATAGTTTTTCAAAGCCTAAAGCATTTCCTTTATTTCTTAAAGAGGTATCCAAAAATTTTCATACTCTGCATTGAATTCTATGAAATAAGATAGATAAGAATGTTGTTTAAAGTTGATGAGCAGAATCAAAACACAAAGTTCAACCAAATTAATTTTTGACTGCAAATTTTTATGTATTTAAACCTATAGTCTTCATTTTTGGCAAAAAGAGGCATTTCAAAATTGTAAATTAATCCAAAACTTAACTTGCAATTTAATTGTTCTTTATTTGGCTACATGTGATGTGATATGAAAATAGCATATGTGAAATTGTTTTGAATTTAAAAAAGCTTTCGACTAAAGTTTTTAATGGTTAATATGAATTTAGAGCCTATAACCTTCATCTTTTAACAAGAGGCATATAAAAACATTTAATAGTATTGGTTTTTATAAAATGAAATATTGTCACAACATTTTACAGTTGATTTAAAATTTGATTCAGCAAAGAGCTATACTAAAAATGTTTGAAATGAAAGTGTATATTTTTAAAATTCATCGTTTTGCCTTTTGAAAAAAGAGGAATTCTAAAACAAACTTCCATTTATACATTGAGTTTTTTAAAATGAGATTTATAATAGTGTTATGATATAAAGTCCTAAAACAACATTCTGACCAAATTAACATCATGGCAATATGGCAAAATTGGAAAGGACATAAGTTTATAAAAAACTACTCAATTTAACTTTCCTTATTTGTTTTCATTAAATGAAAATAACTTTTGTAAAGTTGACTTGGGGCTGAAAACAAAAAAATTTCGTGACAATATGTTATATTTCTAAAGTTCTATTTTTGACAAATTAAGCAATTGAAAAGCATAAATTTTTCATCATAGATATTGTTTTGGTTATGGTGATAAAGAAAAGAGCATTTCTAAATTCGATTATATATTTTAAACTGCAAAGTTGAGTGGCGCTGAGAATCAATTTTGATTTTTCACACAGACATATGTAGCTATATATCTCCCGACAATTTTTGCGAGACAAAATTTCAAATACATTTAATTATTTCAGAAAATTCGAAAAGAAACGAGAAACCAAGTACAATTCTTTTCATGGATAAAGGAACGCTACCTGTAGAAGAGATAATAAAAAAGCCCCATTACAAAAGTATTTAACTGCTAAAAATTCAATTTTAATCAAAAAAATAAACAGAAAGTGAATGTTGTACACCAGTGCAGCGACAATCCTTTTTGGTGTTGCATGTTTTAAATGAAGTGTTGATGCATCTTTTAGTTTTGCCGTCTCTCTTGTAATGCAAATGCGCTTTAGGTCCACTCCAGCATTCTCCAAAGTACTCGATACCAAATGCTTTGTATCCATGCTTCTTTGCGCGCTTGGCGCATCTACAGATAAACCTTAATAAAGAGAAAAGACAACATCAGAGTGAGGGAATCTTCTCTTAATGAAAGTTTATTCGGGATATGAAGGTAGTAGTCTATGAAGAGGATATGCTACTGTTTTACTACTTAATAACTAAAAAATCATCTTTCTTATAGTTATTTTCACGAGATATTAAAGACATTTGCGCAACCGGCATGCCTTCCGAAACTGGCCTAATATCATACTGCATGAAAATACAAAACACAGTCAATTTCTCGAGACAACTGCCTCTAAACATGCCGATTGCACAAGAATATGCTTCTAAGATTGGAAAACTGGAAAAAATTTATTTGCAGGACCTGCAATCATGAAGCCAAGAGGAGAAATTGACATATTTTAATGACTTTTAGAAAGTGAATTCGAGAAAGGCCTTTGATACTCTTTTTCATAAACTATATCAACTATGCGGCAAAGTATATTGAGAAATACGCAATGGATTTATGTATTCTATTCGTACAGTTGAAAAAGCTGTCAGGCTAGACTCTAAAATTGAGAAGAGTGAACCAAAAGCCTTGACTGCTTCGTAAGGTTTGCAGCTTGTTGCATGTTAAAATTTGTTATGATGCTTAATTGATAGCGTCAAGTTTTGAGCGCTTGTAAAACAATAGTTTTTCAACCAAAATTGCAATGAAAGAATTCAAGGTGTTATCAGGGGCGCCTACGCAGCGGGGCTGGAGGAGCTCTTTGAAGAGGGGCAGAGGGTGCTAGAAGTGCCCTGAAATATAAGAAAACACTATAGGATCTTATCGATAATGACCACTTTGACCACTCTCGTTATGTTAATATCTATTAGAAAATATTAGAAAGATGTTAACAGCAGCACAAAAACGCAAAGGATAAAAAGTTTGTCCGTGACATGGTCAACCACAAGATGGAGAGCGACGAAGATAATAGATGATAAACAAACGACGTGTTCCCTCAGAAGTACTTCAGGAACTTAAGGAGGATGAATTGGTATAAAACTTAGCGGGCAATCAAAATTTCACAACCAGCCCAATTATAACAGCCATGATTTATTATAAAACCAAATGTTGTGAATAGTGACAAGGCCATTTGATACCCATTTTTGATACAACATTTTCTCTATGTTTAGAATCTTTGATGGTGTAATAGAACTAAATTTAGCGAATCTTCTTGAATCTAACTAACTACGTATATTTATGTGTACAAGGAAAGTACCAGAAAAGCATAACCAAGCATAAAATGTTACCCAATATAACTAATGACTACGCAACATGATGTAATCCTAATGAGGGGTAATCCTACGGAAAGGAATAGTGAAGCCGCTCGCAAGTAACCGCTATTCTTTAAAGTATCAGTCTTCGGATCATCTCTCGTGATGTTGAACCTCCATTTTATAATGGTAAAAAACCCAGCTGTATGGGTGGCACTGTATTCAAGTTTATATTACCCCAACCTCGCCCCCCTCCCACCTAGGAATGCTCGATTATGTTAATAGAAAAATTCTGCCTCTCCTGCCCTTATCTTTTGCAGGCGTCCCTGGGTGTTATCACGACCTCAGACCAATTTGCTTCCAGTAAAGAGCTCTAGCTTTTGCTTAAATTGCGCAACGAGCAAAAAAGACTTTGGGAACATTTTCGTGGATACTGAGCAAAGTCAAACTCCCAGAACAGTTTAATGAAAAAATTATCTTGCTTGCTTTATGGTTTTTATACGATCTGCCATATCATTAGCCCATTCTGAAGTCTGAAGTGAATTTTGGCATGTGGCAAACAGTTTCCTTCCTGGAAAATAACCTGTTTATCCTAAAATGCCTAAATGCCTACAGTAGAGGAAGACATTCATTTTGATATTGCCTCGGGCATTTTATTTTAAGCCAAATCTTTCTATGAAAAGCGTAGCATGTGATACCCTGGGTTCCAGAGCGTCAAGCGTCAAAACGAATGGGGCGTAGAGGAAATAGGGCGTTGCAGGAGAGTGCGGAGGAGGAGAGAAGAGAGGAAGCTATCATATGCTTACTCGCAAAGCATGTCGGTTGCCAAAGAGCCTTCAAGGGCCTGGAGTCACGTTATGCTAATTTTTATAAAAAACTTCGACTCACGTTGACAAAGACTCTTCATACTTCTTCCACTTGAGCATAAATCCAAAATACACCTTGCTTTTTTTGGATCTCATCGACTCGAGCAACCTTGGCATTGGTCTTTTGTGTCGCACGTGTCTGTCGTGATAGCAGCCTCTGTGACTCAGTTTAAATCCTTCACAAATGTCTCCTATAACGGCAAATATGGATAAGAACAGAAATCATCATCTTGCGGCTTCCTAATTGAAATTGTCGAAATACGAACTCAAGCAAAATCATCTTATTATCGATAAACCAGCTGGGCATTGCTGGAGTGGCCCTTTCAAAACTGAGCAATCGAATGTGCTTTTTCTCAGATGAAATATTATGATTATGTAACATTGTTGAAATGACAACAGGGCGACACTTCCCATTCCGCCTAATCTGGCCACGACCCCGAGGCTTACAACTATCACGGAGCCCAACAAATGAAAGTTTTTCAGAACTTAATGATGCTATAAATGATTAAATTTTTTTATTATATGCTGTTTGATTTTGTGGAAAAGAATAGTCAAATGCACATTTAGAAAAATTTCATATGACGCAAAATTTGAGCAAGTGGAGATTTGGTTTTATCGCAGAACTAAAATCTATAAAATTTCTATAGACTTAATAAAATTTATATGATATCAGAATTTGTCTGAAAATGCTTACCGCAGGGCCCCAAAGTCCTTCCTCCTTGCTCAAGTTTCTTTGCTGGCGGCGGTGGTGCAGGTTTTGCAGGCGGTGGTGGTGCAGGTTTTGCAGGTGGTGGTGGTGCCGGTTTTGCTGGCGGTGGTGGTGCAGGTTTAGCTGGCGGTGGTGGTGCCGGTTTTGCAGGCGGTGGTGGTGCCGGTTTTGCAGGCGGTGGTGGTGCCGGTTTTGCTGGCGGTGGTGGTGCAGGTTTAGCTGGCGGCGGTGGTGCAGGTTTAGATGGGAGCTTCGGAGATGAGCCTGGCTTTGTACAGTTGTTGACAAATATTTTCTTCACTTTGCATGCTTGCTTTACGTAAACCTTTTTCTTGATCACCTTAAGCCTAGGCTTCATCTTTTGAACGCAGACTGGACAATTCTTGGAGAGGAAGTAGTTGATACTCTGTTGATAAAATGTCATCATTTTGTGGTAGCCAACCCAGTCTTTCCGTTGCTGTGCTGTCCTTGGTCCATCGTACTCTTTCTCTGGGTCAGCCATATAATCAGTTCGCCCATCATTTCGGTCTAGCTCTTCAAAGAAGTCTTCAAAAGTCAAACCTGCAAAGAAATCAATGCAAGCACATGCATAAAACCTTCGTATCACGTAATTGATTAAAACTAATTGCTAACATCTGATCAGAAGCTCACTGCACAAATTTTCAGACTTAGGTGACGGAAGAAAATATTTCATTCATACTTCTGTGCAAAATGTTTACTTGACGAAGCAAGCTAATTATCCATGTGAGTTGTAATACTAAATGAATGTAACTTTATAAAAGTTTACCTTTTGAAAGTGTAGCCAAACAAGAGAAGACCGCGAGAAAAACAAAAACTCGAACTTGCAACACCATATTGTTTGCCAAGTACTGCTGTTTTTTCGCGTTTCTCTGATAGAATGAAAATGGTTGGCTGCTTTACGCCTTTTTACATTTCAGAAGCAAATTTAAAGCTTCACTGGCATCGAACAATGGCTTCCAAAAGTGCTTAGACATAAAAACAAAATGACACAACAATAGAATCCTTGACCGGTTCACCCCTTGATTAGATATATAATTGAAAGTTAAGCGCCGTTTAAGCCGCCAATAATTTAACTAAACTTTGACAGAAATATTGTTATTCAAATTATAATTTTTCCATAAGTTTTGTTTTGATAATAAGTTTCGAAATTCATCTGTCGCTCTTCTGTCATTTTTCATAACATTCACCAAAATCTTGGCCCAGTTGTCTGTATGCGATTCCTTCGTTCCCTTGTTCAAACTATAGTAAGATTTCTTTGAAAACGACTATCAATTAGATATCCTTGGCCTCAATGAAACCAGATTGTCAAAAGACACATGTGACAATGAGGTTTCAATAGAGGGATATGATATCTAGAGGCATGATAGGGACAGCTCAGGCGGTGGCGTAGCTGTTTATGTAAAAGATAGCCTTGCCCATCATAAAATAGCAGAGCAGACAAGAGATGACATAAAAGACCCAAACCTAGAAATTATAGGTATTAAAATTGTCCCCAAACATGCTAAGAGTTACATCGTGCTATGTTGGTATCGCCCGCCTACCGAGAATACAGACGTTACTACCTTTGAAGCTTTAACCAGAATGACAAAAGAGCTGGATGCAGAAGGCAAGAAATTATTCCCACTGGCGATACCAACTCTGATTATAAAAAACTAGAAGACTGTTACACAAGAAAGCTGAAACTTCTTTACTCAGAATTTCAGTTCGAACAGCTGATCACAGATTTTACAAGGGTAGCAACTAAAACAAGCTCTAATGGAGAAACAAATACAACTAAAATGGTAATTGATCATTTCTCAAGAAACAGACCTAATTTTTTTCCTGCTCTGGCGTATAGAAATTGGCATGACAGACCATTGCATGGTCTTTGGCATCAGAAGACTTAATGCCAATCTCTTGCTCATAAGGAAACAAACTAAGACTGAATCTCGCAACACGAAAAACTATAACAGGGAAGACTTTCTTCTCGACCTGCAAAGTATCGATTGGGAAATGGCTATATCCACTGCCTGTGATGACCCTGATATCATGGCAAACAAATTTTGCGAACTTTTCAACTCGATCTTAGATATGCATGCACCTTTTAAAATACGAAAAATACATTGAGACATGCACCCTCGCCCTGGATAACTCCCCGTATCAGAAATATGATACAGGGGAGAGACCGGACTAAGAAACGAGCTGGAAAAGATCGATCTCTATGGCCTCTGTACAAGCGCTTAAGAAACAGGGTGACTAGTGAACTCCGAAGAGCTGTCGAGAACTGCTTCTGCAATCTGATTGATGAAATTTCAAATAGCCCTTAGGAGATGTGGAAAACGATTAACAAAGTTTTAACCAAAAGTCAGTGCTCCACGACTCACAGATCCGTCATATATGAAGGTCAACTAATTGAAAAGCAGAAGGGAATTGCGGAAGCATTTAATAACCATTTCACAATGATAGGCCCTAAACTTGCGGAAAAAATCGTAACGAAAGAATCAGATAACCCACTAAAATACCTCGCTAACAAAGATGCATCCGCAGCCCCATATTTTGAATTTCAAGCAATTACTTTAGACCTGATAAAAATTGAAATCAAAAAATTGAAATGCAGTAAATCTGCGGGTTTTGATAAGATTTCAGTTCAGTTTGTGAAAGACGCAGCAGAAATTTGATGCAAGCCACTAGCTGTTACATTCAACTCTTCATTCAAAATGGGTATTTTTCCAGACACATGGAAAATAGCGAGGGAAACCTCTATTTTCAAGTCTGTTTCTGAAAGTGAAATGGGTGATTATAGGCCTATATCCGTGCTATCTGTATTCTCGAGGTTACTGGAAAAATTTGGGCACGACCAAGTCTCAACTTACATGAAAGAGCAAAAGAAATTTGCTGGAAGTCAACATGCATTCTTTAAGATGCATAGCACCCTGACTTCGCTATTAAGCATAACAGATTCATGGTTTTATAATATTGACAAGCATAGAATTAATATAAGCGTATTTCTCGACCTTAAAAAAAGCGTTTGATACGGTGGACCACGGGATTCTTCTATCGAAACTAACCAAATACGGAGTGGAAGGGACATCTCTTCGGTGGTTCACATCGTATTTAACCGGCAGAAGACAATACTGTCAAATAAATGGCCATAGATACTGTTCACTGGCATCCCCCAGGGATCGTGCTTGGGGCCGCTCCTCTTCATCCTGTATGTCAATGATGCACCTCAAACACGTATGCGGATGATACCAGTGCAACCTGTTCTGCCGAGGATATCTACGATCTCTGTAATGATCTAAAAGCTGAGATCTCCAATATTGCAGAATGGCTACGTCAGAATAAGCCTAGTTTGAATACTGAAAAAACAGAATATATGGTTATTGGTCATAAACGACAAACCAACCGTATCCTTTGCCCACTAGAAGTAAATGTAAAGGGAGAGCTCAAAAGGTAAAATACCTAGGAATTACCGTCGACGAAAACCTGACATTGAATGAGCAATATAAAAACCTTAAAGGTAAAATAAAAAATACACTCTCGTCCCTGTGGAAACTAAAGAACATACTCCCGCAATCGAAACTGGATCAGGCCTACAAGGCGCTGCTCGAGAGCCATTTGAGATACAGTGATGAACTATGGGGCAAATTGTCAATCACAAAGCTCGATCATCTTCAGCGTTTACAAAACAGAGCGCACACGCTAATAGAAGGCTCAAGATTAAAGGACGGGTGGGGCTGCAATTGGCTTTCGGTCTCAAATTTGATAAAATTTGACAGGGCAGTAATGATCTACAAAATAATAAATGGTCTCTGCCCTGAAAATTTGAAAGGAAAACTTGTCATAAGATCCCAAATATCTAACTATTCAACAAGAAATTGCCTTCACCTAGACATCCCAAGGCAAAACCTAGAATTCTCCAAAAGGAGTTTTTTCTATTGTGGTGCACAGACGTGGAACGAAATTCCATTACAGATAAGGATCAGCTCCACGATTACCACGTTAAAAAACAAATTAAAGGAACTCCTGCAAAATTAGCATCCTTTCCCGAAGCACGATCCCTAGGAAGACCAGCATTATATGTAAATTAATCTTCACTTTTTCTTTTTTCACTTAGTAGCTGATAGGGTTTCTGTGTATAAATATAATGAAATGAAATCCTTCAACGTTTGCAGAAATTGGTTTCAGGCGGCGTAAACCAGGCGGCTTACACCAGGCGGAGTGCACCAGGCGGCTTGCACCAGGCGGAGTGCACCAGGCGGCTTGATCTAGAACTATCCCAACCACCCTTGATCTGGAACTTCCCGGTGGGCATTTTTAAATAATGAATTGGCATTTTTAATAGATGTTGCCCTTAATAAAAAGTGCTGCTTCAACGGGCCCAAGCCAGAAGAAATCAACCAAGAGAGTTTATATGACCTATTTGGTCAAACTAATAAGTATAAGATTCTGCAACCTTGGTAAAAAGTATAAGGGTCTATGCCATCAAGATTAAATAAGAGATCTTAGTACCATTTAAGGAACGGGATTGACAGGGTCAGGTGTTGCTATGTAAGGGATTGGTTCGAGAAGTTGAGAGAAGGCATGGAGAGACATGGGGTTTCCATAACATTTTGTTTCTTTTACTCGGCAAATAATGTTGCTAATTTACTGTGTTTGCTCCAAGTTTGTATTGTATATTTCTAGTGTCAAAAAGATTTACTTTTACGTTGGATTCACTTTATTGACAGCTTCATATATATCGATTCGATCACTCAACAGCAGTTTTAAGTTTCTCTGCTAAACAGAATGACAAGGGGAGGTTTTTTCTTTTCTTATTGATCCGAAGTGCATTTTCATGAATCTTGTTCATTTTATTATGCGATTTTCAATCATGGAGCATCCATGATTAAAATGAGACATTAAATGAAGTCAATGCTAGAGCTAGTTGAGGTGCATCCATGAATGTTGATATTCGATTTGGGGCCTGACGTTTTTGACTGGCTTTTGCAGAGGTTATCAAAATTCGATGCAAATATTAACCTTTCGTCTAGTTTTTCGTCCACTTTTATCTTTTGTCCAATGTTTAGTGAAATGTTCCTTCGGTTCTCTCTTTTATCATAGGCTCACAGATATTTTCAGAGACAATCACCGAACAGTGAAGTAGGGGATATTTCAGTTCTGCAAACCCGTATTGATGTCCAGTGGTTGAAAAATTCTCAAATTGACAAAATTTGAAACGAAGAGAACCCAAAACTGGAAGTTTACCGTTTAAGTAAGTCAATTTTCGCTAAAAGTATCTTCACGAGAAACAAACTGACACCTTTTTGTTCAATTCTTAATTTCTACTGTTTAATTCTGACACTAGCGGTTGTAGTTGTCTTGTCTTCAAAGTGTAATTCATAGTCAAACAAAGTGTAAATGTCTTTATAAATTTATGTTTATAGTAATGTGCGTACTAAATTTCATAAATAATTTTTCCGAAGGTCAACGATGACAAGCTAAAAACAAATAGAGACTACGAAGTTTTATGTTGCATTAATGTACTTGGAATTTCTAATATGAACAATCATACTTTAAATTTCTACAAAAAAGCCACTCAGCTGAAAAATTCTATAAGTTTTCTTTTAATAGCTTTGAATATAGACAGAATCTAAAGGCTTATAGCCCTCAACATTCCGATTCTGATTGAAATTGGAGAAGAGTTTACCGCAAAATTTGATGGTCATTACAGGTAAAATTTAACCTGGTAATGAGGCACAGAACTCCACTATCTATCTTATTCCCGCTACACCGAACTACACTATTTTATAAGGATGAGTAATGATTTGTGTAGATGAACTGATAAAGTCGGTTCGGGGCCATCTCTCGGTCAATGTCAACTATTTCAACCCTGTCTGATTTCAACCCTGTCTGATTTCATCCCTGCTGGGTGTCAATAGCATGCAATAAAGGCGTTAATGG